TGGGGGGGGGCAGGTGGGCGGGCAGGCAGGGAGGCACCCAGTGGGAGATGCCTTCCACCGACGTGCTTGGCCTTTCCAGCAGGAGTTGGGCCGTACAAACAGCTGCTATGAAGAATGAGGACTGAGTGGAGCCCAGGAAAGGGAGACGTGCAGGGCATTGCACGGAGGTCATCCGTTTTTTAAAAGCCTGTGTACCCTTCTGCAGAACAGTGGGATGTGAGGGTGAAATTGCCATCTCACCCTGTGATCACAGGTCCATCTCAAATGATCCAGCACTTTTAAGGCCGTGGATTTTACACAAGTGTGATTTTGTTCTATTTGTCATCTGAAGTAGAGCAAATGAGTATATTTACAAAGTCTGACAATTCTTACACAGATTTTGTGGCAATGTTATTAATTACAAGAAAAGTTAACAGGACTTTTATACATACTGCAAAAGACATTGCTTTAAAACACAAAATTCTCAAGTCTTTCTTCCCATTTTGTTATAGTCGTGGGCATTTCTCTGTCCAGCTCTACATCCTGTGTTAATTTCACTCAGTTTTCAGAACTTCTCTAAATTTGATCTTTTTAATGGTTGTCAGCCACGCTTGTAAAATGTATTGATCTAAATTGAATAGTAGTGTTTAGAAGGTGTCCCAAAATGGTCTTGGATTTTCAGATTTCTTCTACTCTCAAGAGATTTGTTTTTATGTTGCCTACTAAAAACAAAAACATTAAAGAGAATTATTCTTTATTGTGTATCAGTAAAATTTTGTAAACCCAAATGAAGTTATGAATTCATTAATTTATGTTATCCTATCATTTTAAAATGAAGTTCTTGTTTTCCATATGAAAGTTAGATCTTAGTTTCTCTCTTAGTGAACTCCTCATTAACCAGAATATTCATCCAGAAAACTCTTTTTCTGATTAATCTGGCTTTTGAGAATGATCATAGATGCTGTATCTAGATTATTATTTTGCCAAGAGTTAAAATGAAAATTGTATATGCACTTAACGTAATCTTTGAAACTTTGGAAGTTATTTCAGGATCTTGTAAATACCATAGATTAATCATTTTAAATGTTATTTTTATAGTACTGTGAGAAAATTCTGGTTGTTGGAGCTTTTTAAAATATTTAATATTTTATATTTCCCAATTACATGTTAAAACCGTCTGTTTTATCCTTTGGCTTTTTATCAGTTGGGGAATGGCTTTCATTTCCCTCACCTCCCCAGTTTGACTCAGTTCTCTATATATTTGAGAAGTGAGAGCTTTATCAGAAAAACTTGCTATAAATTTTTTTTTCACAGAGTTACTGTGTATTTTCCTCTGTCCAGTTCCCCCCTACTGCCACCCCACCCCCCACCATTTATCTTTCTCTCCTCTTTTCACCTTGTCCATCTTCCAAAGTGTTTGCTTCTGATTGTTGCTTCCTCCAATCTGCCCTCCCTTCTATCAGCTCCATCCCTTCTCTTATCCCCTTTTCCTCTTACTTTCCTGTAAGGTACAATTGATTTTTATACCCAACTAAGTGTGTATGTTATTCCCTCTTTGAGCCAGTACTGATAAGAGTAAGGTTTGAGTGCTCCCCTCCCACCTCCGCCATCTTCCCCCTACTCTAATAGCTCTTATGCCTCTTTTATGTGAGATAATTTCCCCCATTCTACCTCTCCCTTTCCCCTTCTACCAGTCCATTCCTCTTCTCACCCCCAATTTTATTTTTTTAGATATCATCCCATCATATTCAACTCACTGCCATCCCTTCTATTTATGTATATAGACAGAACTGCCCTAATAATTATAAAGTTCTTAGGAGTTACAAGTATCATTTTCTTATGTAGGAATGTTTTAACCTTATTGAATCTGATTTATTTTTTTCCTGCTTACCTTTTTATTATTCTCTTGAGTCCTGTATTTGTCAGTCAGATTTTTTGTTCATCAGGAATGCTTGAAAGTCCTCTATTTCATTGAATGTCCATTTTTCCCCCTGAAGGCTTATACTCCAGGCAGATGATTCTTGGTTGTAATCCTAGCTCCTTTGCTCTCTGGATTATCATTCCAAGCCCTCTGGTTCTTTAATGTAGAAGCTGCTAAATCTTGTGTTATCTCAACTTTGGCTCCATGATATTTGAATTGTTTCTTTCTGGCTCCTAGCAGTATTTTCTCCTTGACCTGGGAGCTCTGTAATTTGGTTATAATATTCCTGGAAGTTTTCATTTTGGGATTTCTTTTAGGAGATGGGTGGATTCTTTCCATTTTTATTTTACCCTCTGGTGCGAGGATATTAGGGCAGTTTTCCTTGGTAATTTCTTGAAAGGTGATGTCGAGGCTCTTTTTTGAATCATGCCTTTCAATAATTCTTAAATTATCTCTCCTTGATCTATTTTCCACATCAGTTATTTTTCCAGTGAGATATTTTACATTTTCTTCTATTTTTTATTCTTTTGATTTTGTTGTATTGTTTTTTGATGTCTCATTGTTGGAAATTTCTGATAGTTTTGATTCATCTGACTTCAGATGGACCAGTTCATGAAGTGGCCCAAGGCACTTCCAGAAGGACCCCCTACTCTTACCTTTTATTATGCTACCGCTAGCCACCTGTTATCACTGTAGTGGACCGTGTTTATGCATCAACCTGCCTGAATGTTCCATGTTCTCCAGGGCATACCTGTGCCAGAGGCCGTGGATGTGGGTGATTTTGTTCAGTGTAATTTGAGTCTTAAATTGTTTTCTTTGAAAAGTAATCATATGGGTACAGTTTATGTGTTCTGTATGAGCAACAGGGACTTTGTATGAGTTTGAGTCACTTATGTAAGTTACAAAGAACTTTGTATGAGCTTTAAAATGAAAGGACTTGATTAGTGTCTCCTGCTCATTTCAGTTCCTACATTTGGGGGAGCGTGTGCCTCTCCAAGTGAGTGTTTGTGTAGTAATCCAGGGTCTGCACCAGAGAGTGGAAAAGAAGAAAGACCATGCACAAGCTTACCTGCCTGAAAAGGATTCCCTCGAGCAGGGCTTCTTAGACTTTTTCACCTCAAGACCCTTTCAGTGCCCACAGTTTAAGAAGCACTGCGGGCCTAGAGCATACTTAGAGCTGGCTGCAGATGAGAGAGAGGTGCTGAATGAGCCCCCAGTCTGCATCCAAGAGCTCCCTCCAGATGGCTTCCCGTCTCCCCTTAGGTGTAAGTAGAACCCCATCTCCCTGTTGGAGATGATGTTCCACTAGGGGTCAGGGAGTGGAGGGAGGGTGTCCGGGCACCTGCTCTTCCCCATTTATACTTTGGGAACCTTCAGCTCAGAAGTGGCTGAGGGCAATGAGAGCATGACATGTCAGTATTTCCTCATTAATTTAAGATAAGCTAATAACAAGGGGCAGTGGAAGATCTTCTTCATGTTTCCATGTGCTGTAGGGCCTTGCGGACCCTGATGGACAGTTATCTGTGAAAGGATTATTGGGAAAAGAGAAAATTTCAAGTTGTTTTAATTTAAGTTTAGGTTGTTTTTAAGCAAAGAAAGCCTGACACAATTAATTCTTAGAGGATACCAGCTGGTCATGAATTTTTCCCTTGAGTTCTGGGAATAGTGTTAGTTAGGTACATTTCCTCTAGTGGGAATCAAAAGTATGGCTTTTTCCCTCAGGATTCTACATTGGAATGCTAATGCAGAATCAAGAAAGGAGAAGAAATAAATTCCAATACAAAGATCCCAGGAAGGGGTGAAGGGCCTGATTCATTAATATGGCTTTGTGTGCCTGCATGTACATATATATGAACATATATTTACAAGCAATATTAATTCACTTATATTCCACAGAATTTGTAGTTACCAAATTCTAAGAAGCAAACATATCCTTAAAACTCATATTAAGAGGGGTGATAGAAACCACAAACCTGACACCGTGATTGAATCATGAAAGTTACCCAACTCTGTAAATAACCCTAAAGCACCTCTTGTGAATATTGTTGTGCATTCTTATTGAATTCGTGTAAGATAAGGAAGACATTTGTCGATAAAGTAGGGATCTCGAAAGATCTCAGCAGACTAAAATATGGGGTAAATGTAAGAATCCCCTTGCCCTGCACTTCTCTGATGGGTCTCTTTGATCTCAGCGAGGTAGGCATGGCACCACCTGCAGGGTTACAGGTAGCCAGCCATCCTGGCCATCCGTCTCGTTCACCTCTTATCCAGGTGTCCTCCAGGAGATCTGCCACTGGAGGAGCCTCACCTGTCATGGCGGGGAGGCTTCCTCACCTTCCCTGGATACCAGTTAACTACGTGGGCTCAGTTCTCCCTCATTCCTGCTCTTTGGGACCAACTCATCTTTTTTTTTTTTTCCTGGTCATGGAGTGGCCACGACTAGTGAATTTACCAAGTGTCCAGCCTCCTGGTGAGGAGCTTTTTCTGTCTGGATCCAGGCTGGGCCTTGGGAAGCAGATACTGCCTTTTGCTGGCACTGTCCTAATAAAGCTGAAATTTAATAGAGCTGGACAAGAGTCCTCCGTTATCAGCCGCATGAGTAGAGGGTGAGGGAGACATGAGATCTGTATGAAAAAGACAAGTGGGAAATCATCTGTTCTAGGCAGCGTGATGGCTGCCTGGGAGGGAGGAGAGGAGGAGCAGCACTGGGACCACAGTGACGTGTGATTGCAAGCTAGCCGTCACCATCACTTAGAAAAGGGGGGTTGGGCTAGATCATCTCTAGGGCCATTTCTGACCTGAAGATTGACCCTTAATGAGCACACAATCAACTAGCGAACCTCAACATAGAAAAGAATGGCAAGACACCATCAGTTCGAGGAGTCCTCCAGGAAAGAGTAAAGATGTATGATTAAAGCTTTGATTGCTTGGCCAGCCTAAAAATGTATTGAATGATTTCAAATTAATTATTCTATGGAACTGCAATAAGAAAACACAACACAAAGGAAAAGGTGTAGATTGACTAGGTAGAGTTTGAATTGCTTTCAGCCAGAAACTAATTAGTTGAAATTAATGGGCTTTATAATCTCTTTGTATTTAGGCACCATTATGGATATTCCTAATATGTGGCCTGGGCCTCTTCATCTACCAATCACTGGATGCCATTGATGGGAAACAAGCCAGAAGAACAAACAGCTGTTCTCCTTTAGGAGAACTTTTTGACCATGGTTGTGATTCTATTTCCACAGGTAAATCAATAGACTTTTCAACTCCGTTTTTGTAGCATTAAGAGCTTGGGGTCTGCTTCAGATGTTAAGTGGCTTAAATCTTGCTATTTTCTATCTTTTTTTTTTTTTTGGAAAGAGCTATAGCTTTTTAGAGCAGTGTTAAGCACAGTATACGTAAGAAATGTTGGTGTACTGTGCTACATGTTTGGGGTTGGGGTGTTTTGTTTTGATCTGGAGCAATTAGGAGTTCTGGTTGAGAAAATTCCCCCTACAAATGCTGATGTGCAAATGACAGTCTTACAGAGTTTCCTGGAGACACTGAGAGGTTCCATAGATTATCCAAGGTCACAGAGTACATTGGACATCCTCCTGGACCGCGGTCCTCCTGACTGACTACAAGGCCTAGCCTTGTATCTACTGTGCCACAAGTTACCTGCATTTTATGCCATGGGTATATTTCCAAATTGAATTAATGTTAAACATCTACTATACACAGAGTAGTTAAGAAATAAAAATAAAATAAAATAAAAAGTTTATGTAATGATGTCATATTTCTAGAAATAAAATCCATTTTCTCTTTCTCTTACACTTGTCATAATTTCAGGCGAGCCATGTGATGGTTGGTCTTCAATTGACAGTGGCTCCTAAGTGAATGGTCTGTCTTTAAAACCACTTACACATAAGTCAAGTGAGCTTCCATTGTTATCAGTTTTGTAGTGAATCCTTTTGTAAAATAGGTCTGTTGGTAATGTCAGTGATTACTGCCTTAATGACCAGTTTAGGAAATTTAGAAAGATTTTAAAAATACATCTGTTCCAAATAATTCAGTGAACTTCCGGTAAAGTGAAAAGTCCAGCTGTGCCCAGTTGCCCTGAGAAACACCCCAACAAAGGTGAAAGAGAGCCCCGGAGGAAGCCAGAACACGTACACACCTCCGTCTCCTTCAGGGCAGCACCAGAAAACTGGAATCCCGGGGGCCTGATGGTAGGAGACCTGAAGGTCACAAGATCTCCGGACCCGGCAGCAGATCCAAGCTGACGAAGCAGATGAAACAAACTCCCAGGAGGTGACTGTCGGGCAGAAGAAGATGAGGCCGAGGCAGCGGGCCGTGTACACTCAAGAGGCTTGACACCAGCCCCATTTCAGTACCTGGTCAAGGCCCATCAGGGCCGTAATGAGGAAAAAGTTGACTTCTTGTCTGTGACTGCCCAAAGAGGCAGAGGCAGGGCCCTCCCAGAGGCCTTGAGCCAGCACAACTCCCAATTTTCTCTTGAGACCTATTGGTGATACAACAGGGATAAAGCAATTCACAGGCGAGGGATTGGGGCCGAGAATGGGCCCTGAGCCCAGCTCTGAGGCCCGCTCCTTCTCCCATGCCCCAGTTGCAGAAGAACACAGGGAGTCAATCACTCTCTCTGGAACCATGGCGGCAGCATCCAGTCTGCTGTGGAGACAGGACCAGTGCCTGGCCACCTTGGATTACAGGAGGGGATGGAGCTTGGTCCCAGCACCAAAGTCCCAATCCAGGAATTCAGACTAAAGACATTGGGAAACAGAAGAAAATTCCTGATACTGTGAAGAACTCCTTTGAGTCAAGACAGGCTCAGAAAAGAGCTTGTCATTCTTCACAGTGAGTGCAGGGAGAGTCTCAGAAGAAAAGAGTGGTCAGACCTTGGCAGGTGTGAGGGGCCACAAGAAATGTAGTGGGAGCCCCCAAGAAGGAGAAGAGACTGCGCTTAGAACAGAAAGAGAAACTCTTAGCCAAATCATAGGGAACCTCAAAAATAAAATGGAGCTAACATAATTCAGATGATTCAGTGAAGCAACAAAATAATGCAACGGAGTTAGAGACTGAAAAAATGAAAGGAACATGTGAAGCGAGTCACTGCTGTCAAAAAACAGTTGGCCTGGAATACAGCGTGGGAAGATAGAATTAATCTCCCCCTAAAACAGGACCAGACAAAAAATCTGCACACCATATTTCAACAAATCACAAAAGAAAACGGTCCACAAAGATTAAATCTAGGGAGAAAATGGAATGAAAATGGAAAGAATCCATTGGCTACCTCCTGAAAAAAAAATTGAAATTACTCAGGAATATTATAGTCAAAATCCAAACCTTCCAGGTCAGAGAAAAAAACGCTGCAAACATCCATAAGGAAAGAGTTCAAGTCCTGGGGGGCCTCAGTCAGGATCACATGAGACAATGATGTCACTCCAGTAAAGGAAAAGAAAATGGCAATATGACAGCAAAAAAGGCCGAAGAGAAAGGCAAAGTGCAATCCTGCCCGGGGAAACATGGGCTTTTAGCAGAATAGAGAACTGTGAAGCCGGCTTAATGAAAAGATAGAATCTAAGAAAGACAAACAGGAAACAAATAAAACCTAGAAAGGTAAATACATTTGAGCACTTCAAAGGAGCTCAATGGTGATCAAGTGTCTTTGATTGTCTTTTCCTCCACTTGATTTCATATTCCTCCCACACCCTTACAGTAAGACTTCTTTTAATTTACACTTAAAAATCTTTAGGGGCTGTGGAAGGGTGTGGGGGGAGAGAGAAGGGGAGGGACTGAGACCATAAGATCTGCCTATCAGACCTAGACAAATCCAACAAAAAAGATAACTAAAAAGTTAAGAAACCAAATAGAATTTTAGAAAAGATAGGTTTAATAGACCTTTGACAACGACTGAAGGGGAATTAAAAGGCAACATGATCAGCATTTTTTTGTGAGGCAATGGGATGAAGTGACTTGCCCACGGTCACACAGCTAGCAAGTGTCAAGTGTCTGAGGACAGATTTGAACTCTGGTCTTTCTGAATCTAGAGCCGGTGCCTTATCCGCTACACCATCTAGCTGCCCCTTGATCAGTATTTCTTAAACCCTTCCTGTATGTCAGGCAGTGTATGAGGAGCTGGGGACACGAAGAAAAGCCAAAGATGGATGGTCCTGGCCTTAAGAAGCCTCCTTTTTCATTATTTATGGGGAGGGTTGGGAAAGATCTGCAGAATTGCCGACTTCACTCCATCGTCTTGGCTTTACCCTTCAAGGAGTTTTCCGTCTAATTTGCCCTAATAGGGGAAGACAACCCCCCAAAAGGAGCTGGAAGGCAGGAGGGGGAGGGGTTTGAGGATGAGGTGAAGGGACTAGCCCGCAGGCGTGGTATGGAAGTCTGGAAAGACAAGCACAGCCAAGAGGTTGGTGGAGGCCCCAAGAAGAATTCCACAGTGAGAAGAGAGGGCAGCAGGGGATGAAGGATGTCCTCGTGCAAGGCTGAAGCTAAGGCGTGGCATTGAAATCCTGAAAGTTAGGAGCCCAGCTGCAAGGGCTTTGCCCCTCCCCCTTTTGAGTGGCAGGGCATAAGGGAAAAAAAAAACCTTATAATTGCAGAGAAGCAGAAATGGTCAATTTAGCCTTTACCAGCCACAACGTGATAAATGTAATCAATAAAGGGTTGTTTGAAGAAAAGCTTCAAACTCATTGGAGACTAAAGAATAAAATACTAAAGAACTGTGCTTCAGATTCCAGTGGCTTCCTGTTGTCTCTAGGATAAAACGAAAACCCCTCTGTTTAGCTTTTGAAGCCCTACAAAACCCAGCCCTCTGACCTTTCTGTCTGATTGGGCCCTGCTTCCCCTTGTACCCTCACCAGCTCAGCCTAGGCTTCTCTCACAGTACCTGTGAGGCCACCCATGCAAAGGCACTGAGGTGGGAGGTGGGGGGTGAGGAAGAAGTGGTGGTCAACTGGCTGATAGGAATGCCCTGGAATGGGTGGTGTAGGATCATCACCTGGCCGGAGTTCGGTGGCCAGAGCCTCGAGGCAGGGAGTCTGGCCTGAAGTCCGGCGCTGGCTTCAAGGCAAGAGGTGCCGAGGGCCTGTGTGTGAGTGAGGGGCGACAGAGCCTTAGAGACGCAGCAAAACGTCCAGACTGGCTTGTGGGGGGGGGTCATTTCAGCTTCTAATTTAGCCAGCTGTTAATCGTCCCTCTTGTGTCGGCTGAGCTCCCAATGTTGGGTAGTTTGCATTGCACGGTGTGGCTGTTTGTCAACTTGGCATGTGCACAAGGGATAAATGAAAGTCCTTTCTGCCCTGGCCTGACGACTCTTGTGGTGGTTCAGCGACCCCGCCGGCTGCCCAGTCCCCTCCATTGGTGCCTGCCGTGCCCCTAGGTGGAGTCCAGTATGAATTCTAAAACCCCAGCGGTCTCCAGCTGCTTCCTCACTGTATGTTTGCTTTCTCTTTCAGTGTTTGTGGCTCTCGGAGCCTCGATCGCCATTCGCTTGGGATCAGACCCCAACTGGCTGTTTTTCTGCTGTTTTGTTGGGATGTTCATGTTTTATTGTGCTCATTGGCAAACCTACGTGTCGGGAGTGCTGAGATTTGGAAAGTAAGTAGACTTTGTTAACTGATGCCTAATGAAAAATGTGATACTTGCTTTAAGCACTTTGGTGATCAGCTACCAGGACTTGGTTATCCACACTGATGGGAGGCCGAGCGTGCTGTCATTCACGACATTACTCTCCCTGCCACGCCTTTTACCAGACATTGGAATGGAGCAACGTTGGTGGATGTGAATCCCACCTTTTCTGTTTCCCAGATCGTGCTTTAGCCAGGGATTCTTAACCAGGGAGATCAAGTTCAGACTTGTTCTTTTAAATATGTGGACGGCTGTACTTCACCAGAATTGGTTTTTGTTATTTTATTTTATGCATTTAAATACAAAAAAAAAACCTTATAATTGCAGAGAAGCAGAAATGGTCAATTTAGCCTTTACCAGCCACAACTTCTCGGAAGGGGTCCTGAGGCTTCTCCAGACACTGCCTGAGGAGTCCAGGACACAGAAAAGGTACAGATTCCCTGGGCTGGCCTAATGAGGCTGCTTAGGAGCCACAGAATGGAGGGAGAACCCAAGAGCTCAGGTCATTCTATAAGCAGTGCTCAGCACACAAACAATTGTTTGTGTAGGAGTTTGTTGCTCTGTGAAATCAAAGGGATGACTCTTCTTTGGATGGCGGCATCAGCCTGTGTGACTTGTGACCTGTGACCTAAGCTGGGATTCCTCCCGACGGAAACCTCCACAAAAGAGCCTGCTTTGTTGGCCCCTTCCCAAATGCCTTTCTCTTTCTGGCCTGGGAAAGGAGCACCGTGCTAGGCTTCTCCCCTGAGAGAGGCTGCAGGAACTCGCCTCCTCCCTTCCCGTCCCTCTGGTAGCCTCCCTGTCTGATGGACTGCTGCTCCTTGTGATGTAGGAGGGGAGATGCTCTAAGCCCTTGGAGAAAGTAAGGAGGAACACTGCTCGGTCATTGCCAGGCCGCTGTTTGATGTGTAATTAATTCGTTCATTCGTCAGGCATTTCTTCAGCAGATGGCTTTGGTGAGCCTGGTCCCACACAGCCTATGTGTAAGGTAGTAGAGAAAGAGGCATTGGAACACTTGAGACATCTCTGTCTTTGATAAGAACTGATGTAAAACTTGGCAGAAGCTCGGCAGAAATGGGATTTAAACCAACAGCTTTGTGCCATGTACCACAATGAGCTGTTGTATCAAGATGTGAGCCTGAATTTGAAAGGAAAACCTTAAACTTTTTAAAGAATGAGATCACTTAGCTGTGGCTAGTTAGTGAAGGAGTTCTTGGCCAAATAAGAGAGGTGATCACAAAGGACAGAGTAGTGATTTTAGTACATGGAGTTGACGAGCTTTTGCACAAACAAAATCAGTGCAGCTGCAGTCAGTTGGGGGGTGGGAGGGTGTGTCTAATATCCAAAATATATAAGACCGAGATTCATTCTGCAGTGGATAAACTGATCAAAGGATATGAGCAAACCACTCTCAAAAGAAAAATTGCAAACCATTAGTAATCATATGAAAGATTGCTCCAAATCACCAGTAATAATAGAAATGTAAATCAAAGCGACTCTTGACATTTCACCTCATACTTAGAAAATTGTCAAAGGTGATGAAAGATGGAGATGGTCAGTAGTAAAGGATCCGTGGAAAGATAGGCACATGGATACACTGTTGGTGCTGGAAGCTGGTCCATCCTGTAAAGCTATTTGGAATTAGGCTTAAAAAGTGAATCAAGGGCCCAAGAGAGCCCAACCCCTCACGAGGTCAAAAGCGGAAAGGTGTCATAGATGCCAAAATGTTCAGAATGTGTTTGTGATGGCAAAGAGCTGGAAACAGTGCATGCCCAGTGACTCCCAAATGGCTAAACAGATTTTGGGGTGGGAACATCATGGAATAATCCAACACTATAAGAAATAGTGAATGTGGAGGATTCAGAGAAGACTTAGGAAATGATTCTGCAGGCGATAGGGAGCCTCTGGAAGTCCTTGAGCAGGGGCTGTGGTGTGGTCAGACGGCTGAGAGGAGAATGAACTGGAGTGGAAAGACACTTGAGCTGGGGGACAAGTTAGAGTTTGTTGGAATAGTCTGGGAAGAAAGCGATAGAAGTCTGAAAACACCCCAGAGACATCGTGAAAGTAGAAACGAGAATTGGTGATGGATTGGTTACATGGGGTGAGTGAGGAGTCAAGGAGAAAACAGGTTATGGGCCTTGATGACTGAGAGTTTGGGGGAAAAGACGGTTCTGTTTGGGACACATGGAGTTTGAGATGTCCACGAGGCATTTGGAGAGATGAGGGCGGATGTCTGGATCTGGGGATCATCCACATAGAGAGGCTGTGGAGGGAAAAGAACATCCATACAGACAATTAAAGAAAAAGATACAGGGGAGTGAACCAGCAGCCGTGGAGATTAGGGTAGACGGCTTCTCATCAGGGCTGCAACCTGAGCTGAGCCCTCAGGATTCTGTAGAGTTCCCTAAGGAGGGAATGTACTGAAGGTGTAGAGAGAGGACAGCCTGGACAAAGGCATGGAGTTGGGAAATGGCCTGGCACGTGAAGAGAACAAGGCAAGCCTGTTGGGCTTTGTAAGAGTTAGAATGAGTAAGATGCAGAGTCCGTCCAGCTAACTTTGGGCTTCTGACCGTGGCACCCGGGTCTGGGTGGGATAGGGCAGGTTTGTCCTCCAAGTGATTTTTAATAACTTTGTCATCCTCCGATTATTATATATATCATCATCTATGTCCCCACATAGCCTCGTCTTCCTCACTGTGCCGTGATCTAACTTGCATGAAGTAGCTTGACTTTTCTTTGAAGTTCCTCACACCCCTCCCCAGTCTGTAGTGCTCCCCCACAGCCTCTCAGCACACGCACGTTTGGGAAATGAGATGGGTGAATTGCCCTCTTTGGTGTAAGATGAAAGTACCTGTGATTTGTCTTAACTGTTTGCTCCAAAGAGCTCGTTTTGGCCTGCTTCTGTCCCCATCTCATCTGCTCCCAGGGCCCCCCTCCCCTCATGTGCCTGTCTTCAATCCTGACCTCTCTAAAGAGCTCCCGAGACCCCTGTGCTAACTGTCCACAGGACGTCTCTCTCCGCTGCTTCTGGCCCTGGTCTCCTGACTGCTCGCTGGGCGGCACCTGCCCCCTTCACCGTCTCCTCCTCGCCGCCCCCTGCACCGTCTCCTCCTCGCAGACCTGGGAGGCCCGAGCCAGTCTCCCTTCGCGGCTTCCTCCCCACCTCGTGCCGCTGACCCCAGCCTGGCAGGGCCCTCCCTCCCTGAATGTAACTTGTGTGTGTGCCTGCCTGCCTTCTCTGACCTCTTCTCCCTTCTGCTCTGCAGCTTGCCCACCGCCAGGGGTGGGGAACTTGCCGCCTCAGGGCCACATGCAGCCTTCTCGGTCCTCGGGTACAGCCTTTGACCAGGTCCAAACCTCAGAGAACAAATTCCCTTCATAAAAGGATTTGTTCTGTAAACCTTGGACTTGGTCGGAAGGCTGCAGCTGAGGGCCTCGAGGCCACAGGGTCCCCACCCCTGGCCCAGCCCTTACCTGACCAGCCCTCTTCTCATACATGTCACCTGAACCAGACGAGTCCGTGTACTCCCTACCATGCCTTTTGTTCTCCCGCCTCCAAGCCTTTGCTCTTGCTCTTCCCTGTGCCGAGAATGCCCTTTCCCCTTTTCGGTTGTTGAATTCCTACACATGATTTAAAGCCAGACTGATAAAAACCCCAGAAGTGTCCCCTGAACCTCCTGAGTGCTAACGGCCAGCAGGCCCCCTAGATCTCACACAGCACTTTCCTTTACAGCAACTCGATGCACTTATCGGGTAACATTTTGCATTTTAGTTCTATTTGTTGCATTCCCCCTATGAGACAGTAAGTTTCATGAAGCCAGGGGCTTGGTGTGGCCCCTGTGCTTAGCACTGTACTGGGCACACAGTAAGGATTAAATATAATAAAGATTGGTTGAATGAATTAACCTTTACTCATTTAATGGTAGGAAAAAAAGGAGCTTTATCTTCGAAATTTCTCTGAAATGCTGCCCAGGACTTTGCACCCTCGTAAAGTGCATGCCAGTTCTGCTGACCTTGATTTCTGAACCCCACGTTTAAGTTGTTTATTTGCATATTCAAAGTCGGTAAACATTTTGTGTTTTTTTCCTTCCTCCTTTCCTCCCGCTTCTCTTTAGACTGGATGTAACTGAAGTTCAGCTAGCTATAGTTACTGTCTTTATTTTAACCTCATTTGGAGGAACATCAATGTGGGATTATATTGTAAGTATTCACATCTATATTTTTAGCCCTTTTGCTTAGGTGGGAAGACATCTGTAGATTTTTCTCTGTAAAAGCTTGAATTATACTGAATGCACTGACGTGTCCAAGGACCAGCCTGTCTAAGTGTGGGGAGCTGGGTCAGAAGTTGGCCCTGCTGACTTGTGAAGCCTTCTTCTGTTTCCATAGTTGCCATGGTAGAAAGCAGAAAAGGAAGGAGAGGGTGCTAAGGATCACTCAGCAATCAGCCCATCTACAAATATTGATGGAGCTGCCAGCCCTGTCAATGAGCAGATGGTAAATAAAGCATTATAATCTCAGAGGAAAGTTTTTGTGATTAGAAGAAATGGTGGGCTGGTCATGGAGAAAGCAAAAAATGAAAGATAAGAGAGGAACAGCCAAAGGACACATTGTGTTTGGGCGGATCTCTGGAAAGATACGCCCAGGACAGGCGACTGTAAGAGAGCTGGATACTGCATCAGCGGAGGGAGTGCCCACAGTTAAAGTGTGTTGGGTCTCAAATGTGTTATTTCTCCTTTAGTATGGTTCTTATTTTTAGAATGCTTTTTTCTTTTATGCTTTACTGTTCTTTCCCCTTTTGTATTAAATTAATAATATATAGAGGGGGAAAAAAACTGCCTTCTATCTGATAAAATTTAAATGATACTATTCTTTCAGGCCTAAAATGATAGATTTAACATGTAGGATAAATATTTTTTCCAAAAAATAAATTCAGCAGAAGGTTTCACATTAGTAAAAAGCCAGTTGCTCTATTAGAAAAGAAAATCAAAATGTTAATTCTAAGTATTTTTTGTACACAATTTCTTGAAAACTAGCGAAGGGGAGCCATCAGTAGTCTGGCATCCCCTCACCTTCCCCATGTTATTCTCAGACTGCCTACCTCCCTGTATTCTGTACGGGTTCCTCGATTGGTGATTTCTTTGCACATCGGTTATTTGGCTAAGGTGGTCACAGCGTGATGCTGATAAGAACAAGTTCAAGATTTGTTTTAGAAACAAATCTGGAGCAGAAATCAGTTGCATGACTACCAGCTGTCCATGCCCATAATTGTCCATCACGCAGATATCTGCGGTAGTAGGTCATGAGAGACCAGGCCCTCGTGTTCTAGGGATGTTAGCTGGTCCCTGCCCCTGTTCCCTGCAGTTGATGAAGACGGGCATGCCCGGGATGAGCTCATAGCCAGTGGGTGCTGGTGCGAAGGCCCGTTGTCTGTCATCAGCAGCACAGGGAATGAAAGGGTGGGCTCGGGAACAGGCTAGGGTTCTGGACTTGAGGGATTGATTTAAAAGGCCTCCACAGGTGTGGGAGAAACCATCTAGTACTGAAATAATGTTGCTTAGTGACTTTGTAAGAGTTACTCATCTAACTTTCCCGGTTATGTTGTGGATGTGGTCAGGGACTTCGCAGATTTTTAAAATGAGATTGCTGTTCTTTTGAAATATTAAAGAGAGGACTGGTGGTAATTCACTGTCAACTTTTCTTCTTAACTCTTTCGCTGCCTTTGGAAGCTTTCACGAAGCAGCATTTGGCGGCCAGAAGGTAATGACCGTGTTATTCATTACTGATGGATATGCTGTGATTCAGAACGTTCACAAGCACGTGTGTCCGTGTGTACCATGGCACATCATTTGTGTGAAGGCCACTGGCAGTGTTTGCCTTCCCTTTGATGTTCACTTACATGGGGGCTGCTGCCCAGACGTGACCTGTCCTTATTCACGGCTATCAGACACGGTTATCGTGTAACTATCTGTACACGCAGCAGAATGTAGTGGACAGATTGTCTCCGTGTAATGATGAAAGAGCCAAGAAAAATGTCAACTACATTAAGTTGAATGTGTGACTTTCATTTGAACAAGAATAAAGGGCCCCAAAGTGTAGTGACCTCTAAAGAAAACTTTAACGTTGGTATACTGAATACCTAAAATTTCTTTCTCCTTTCCCCCCTCCAAAGATCCCTGTGATTGAAGTAAAACTGAAGCTTTTCCCCCTTCTCGGAATAGTGGCAGGAGCATTTTTTTCCTGTTCTAATTACTTCCACACCATCCTCAGTGGCGGAGTTGGCAAGAATGGATCCACAATAGCAGTAAGACAATTCAAAAGCATTTTGTTTCCCTGCAGTATTGAGCTCATGTCGTTGCTTAATTTTACAAATAGAGTTAACCCGCAGAAATAGACGCTTGTCCCTTGCGTCACAGGAACTGAAGACTGGGGGTTAGAAAGGGCCTTAAAGGCCTCACCCACTTTATGCGACTGGATGCTTCATGTGCTGAGGCTGCCGCTGCCTCTTTGAAGCAGTTTTGTGGGGAGGGGGGTTTGAACATGATGCATAATCACTCTTCTCCACCAGTAAAGTGGAGGGTGAGACTCTATTACTTATTCTGTTCACTGCCTCGATTTGGAGGGCAGGGGGATGAGACAGCACCCAAGAAGATGGTGGAGAAACTTTTTTTTAATTTTATTTTTTTTTTAATGTGAGGCAGTTGGGGTTAAGTGACTTGCTCAGAGTCACACAGCTAGTTAGTGTCATGTGTCTGAGGCCGCATTTGAACTCAGGTCCTCCTGACTCCAGGGCCGGTGCTCTATCCACTGCGCCACCTAGCTGCTCCTGGAGAAACTTTTAAAAATGAATTTCGTGAAATCTGGAATTCAAAATCTTATAAAAATTGTCTTTACATGTAATTGGAAAAAATACTTTTTGAAAAAAGAAAAAAGTGAATTTCATTAAGGATTTCAGTTTCACTGAGAGTATTTAGATAGTGCTACATTCTTGCCTGTGCTTTGACAAACTGCCCTCAAGGGGGTGCTTCGATTGTGCCTTTGTAAAGCCGGGCTGGCTTCTGAACCAGACCTGCCCACCCTGGGGGTCGGGTTGTCCCAGAAGGCTCAATGCTTATTTCAGCGATGCCATTACTCAAAACATCTTTGGAACAAACATTTTTTTGAGAATCACTCTCAAAGCCTGCCACCTTCCCCCTCTTTGGAATAGAAAAATATAGAATAGAAGAAGAGGAAAATAGAAAAATAGCTTGTGATTTTTAGAAACAACCGAAACTTGACCAAAGTTGAGCCTGGGGAGTAATACTCGTTAGGGGGACCCCATTGCTAAAAAGGGGTGTCTTCACTGTCACATGGCTCCAAAGGCAGTGACAAAAGAGGTCTAAAAACATTTTGAGCATTGAGATAAGGGCATGATAGCCTCCTCCAAAATCAGTCCTTCACTGATTGTGAAGGACAACCCCTCAGCTGGAACATTTGTTCAAAAAAAAAAAAGGCACATTCCTCTGTTATGCTTTGTAAGCAAGTTAAACTGTCCTGTGACTAACGCTGAGCAGCATAGAGTAAGCACACAGAAGCTATTGGGTTGGTTGGTAAGTTGTAGCTTGAATCTAATAACATGGGTAATCCATTTATCTAGATAAATTAACAGGTTTTAGTGGTGGTTAGCGCCCACAGCTAATATTTTACTAAGGAAGAAACACCCCCAGTTTAAAGAATAAGAAAATTACTATTGCTTCTGAGTTATTGCTGCTTTAATAGCACTATAGAAGACAAAAATATGAAAACTTATTTCCTGCTTTCTTCTTTAGGGCACCAGTGTTCTGTCACCTGGCATCCATATAGGACTAATTATTCTTCTGGCCATAATGATCTGCAAAAAATCTGCAACACAGCTGTTTGAAAAACATCCCTGTCTTTATATTATGATGTTTGGGTGTGTGTATGCCAAAGTCACACAAAAATTGGTGGTAAGCAGTTTAGTTAAAACTGTGTATCTGTGTGTGTGTGTGTGTGTGTGTGTGTGTGTTTGGTCCTCAAGAGAAACTGGTACAGACGGCCAGGGCAGTGAGTGACAAGTGTAGGTTGTGTCCTATCAAGTCCTCTTGTCGCCATGACATCCCCGTTCTAATGGTTGGTCAAAGTTATTTCTGTAATCCAACTTCTAAAAATCAAACCGTATCCTAACATGAACCATTTAGTAGAGAAAGAATTAGACTAAACTAACATACATTATAAAACCTCATTGGCTGTACATTTTTAGTTATTCATGTTAACTTAGATACAAATAAATTGAATAAGCTAGACATCTCTGTAAGACAGTTTAACTAATGTTCCCAGAAGCGTAAGCACTAAATGATCTTTGGAATCATTTTCTGTCTTAATAGGAAGACTTATTTTTTTTTTTAAGTAAAGCATAAACTGTTCAAATCTGTGGGAGTCTATACAGCTTTTTATCAAATTATTGTGTCATTTAACAATTTCTAGATCATTCATTTGCCCTTTTTATTAAATAGGTTGCTCACATGACCAAAAGTAAACTAAGTCTACAGGACCCTGCATTTATTGGGCCAGGTCTTCTGTTTTTGGACCAGTACTTCAACAATTTTATAGACGAATACATTGTTCTGTGGGTAGCAATGGTGAGTGAGCACTTTGGTGCTAAGCTTTTGATCTTTTTGTAGATAATACGAAACATCCCCTCTCCTCCTGCACTCCTAGCATCTGACTCTTACTTCTATACCACTATAGTAAAGGCCCTTGGGGAACTGCTGCTGCTAAAAGCAGTCCTGCCTGCAGCCTTTTGGATTTCTATCCATGTCTTCTCTCTGTCTGCCTCTAACTGGCCCAAGGCACACAGTAGAGGTGAAATTGGTCACATAGCTAGTGTCAGAAGTGGGATTTGAACCCAGGTGTGGTACTCTCCACTGTGCTGGGCTGCTCTTCCTTCAGACCTGCCTGATGTGCACACGCACTAGCTGTGACCATGGCCGTCTCCCATAACCTCTCAAAGCACCCTTCCTACACCACCAAGCATTTTAAACCTATGGACAACAGATGGTTTGTAAGGTGGCCCTTGGGCTGGTCTCTATAATGCTACTTAATTTCCTTTTTCTGACATGACTTTACTTTAAGGTTTTAATAATACCCTTTCTTGGTTATTTCATCCAGAAATAAGTCCCTGCCTTCATGCTTCCACTAACAGATCTCATTCAGATGGGTAGGGAATATTTATTAATAAAATTAGGTTATTAATTCAGTAACTACATGTCATTCCTTTTCCCCTGTAAGTTGACACTCATCCTTCAAGGAGCTGGTGCAACCCCTTCTTCTCTCTCAAAGACGACAAGTGCCTGTCTCCCAACCTGACCCTCTGCCCCAGCGAGGCACCAGAATGACCAAAGGGCACCTTGTTACATGAACGGTGATCTGTTTTGTCTCTTTCTTTTTCAAGTTGATCTCTTCACTTGATTTGCTGAGATACTCCACTGCTGTCATCTTGCAGATTGCAAATCACTTTCATTTACAAGTCTTCAGGATTCCATTTCCTCATGCACCTGAACAGGTTCAAAACCATAATGACTGACTAATAGCCCAAGGAGAAGAGAAGCGATTAAGGGAACCCTAGGAGTGAAGGAAACCCTGCTTTTAGGAATACAGATAAGAAGCTTTCCAAGAAAACCAAGTCCCTGAAAAGCACATTAATGTGGCCGTAACTGTCAGATAAGAGATTTAATATAAAGCTAAGTCCTGCAGATTCTGTTGTGTGTTTGTTTCAGTCATGAAGCCCTTACCACACATTCTCTTTCATCGTTGAGACTGGGTCTTAAAGTACAAATCTGTTCCATAACTGGGCTGGGAACAGAGAAGTTTCAACGTTAATAGTATGGGAGAATCAGTGAAGTTTGCCTTAAGAAATTAATTAGCTAAAATGGCTATTTTGAATGTTTTTAATATTAATTTTTACATTATTAGTCTTTCTTTTATCTGTGAAAAAACTTTTAAGGCAGTTCACTTTTTAGACACACCTCAAGTGCATGGCTCATAATGCTGTCTTAATTTAATAATGGGCAAAAGTGGTAAAGATGTGCATGCATCTCAAGTTAAATCAAAAACAGTGTTTACAAGAGAAGATTTTATCAACCCAGCATTGTTTGCCATTTTTCTGTTAACAGATGCAAAGGTGATCATTGTTCCACTACTAGAGAAATTACTAGCTCCTATATGGATTAGTTCTTAAGTCTATTAATATTTTTCCAGTAACAGTAAGAACTGATAAATGATTTAGAACTATTGTTGATTATCGAAGTTTAGAAATTATTGGGATTTGTGTTACCCACAGAAAAGCAAGAATTGTCTACAAACAACTACAATTTAAAAACCACTATAGCAAAATAACCCTACTTCTTAAAATCCAGGCCACATATTGATTGAATAGCAGTACCTCAAAAGAATTCCAACTTCTAATAATCTTAGTTTCAAATGATTCTCCCAGCCCTTTTCAATTTATTCATTATTTATTACAAATGCCACCAGTCTCCCAGTCCCAAAATGAATAATCAGAAAGACAATCAGAGAACTACTTCACATATTATTAACAAGCTGGGGAAAATGCTGATTTTGCACTGAATTATAAAAACTCATTTGTCCTCTCTTCAAAGGAGAAAATAGTCCTTAGAAGAACTAAATATGATGAAAAACATCCTACAGCTAGTTATGAAGAACTTTTTCCCCCAACAGACTAAATTCAATACATACCCTACCCCTCTTCAAATTCTGAAACAGAACTGAAGATCTGTTTTGCCAGTATAGACTTTGCCCCAAGAGTAAAATTACATCCCTCTATAGGATTCTGCAGAAAGAATAATGTTCCTCTTAATTCATAATGCAAAATTATCTTTAACTGCTTCTTTTGTAAACTACCACAGAGAATCTGTATGGACTTGTATTAGCCTAGAAAAACTCAAATTGGGGGAAGAGGGAAAGTGTGAAAAGTGAGAAAGTCACTCCTCTCCTCCTATTGGGCACATTATTCATTTTGATCCTTTGATTTTCAGTAACTACAAGCTTAACCAAATGATTTTCAAGCATGTGCTAATTAATTCTGTATTTACTAAATTCAAATGTGATTGTAGATTTCATGTGCTACATGTAAAAAAGTACACAGGCAAAATATTGCTTAAACTTGAATGAGAAAGTAAAATCAAAATTCCATGTTATTTCATGTAAATATTAATTTGGAAAGAATACTTGTTTTTGCATAAAGGCAGATATGAAATACCCCAAGCAAGAATGTTAAATAGCAGTATCAATCTCTAAAATGTACATATGTTTATGAAATGTTTTCAATCAGTGAGTGCCAAGAGCCTGTTATTTAATTATAAATAACTTTCATTCCTTAGAACTGAAGTTCAGATACTCTGTTCAGTCTTTCAAACTAATGAATCACTTTCTTGGCTGTTTCATTTACTATAGAACACAAACTGATTTTTAAAAAACATCAATGTATATATACTTACATGTTTCTCAGGACTCAGTCCAATTTTTAGCAGTTGAGATGGTTAGTATTTTGTGCAGCTAAAAAGAGCTAGTGAGGCTGAAATGTGAAATTCAATTCAATCTTTATTGCTAGAAGCCATTAGCTTTTAATTGCTAACAATGGGGGGGAAATAGTTCACTAATACCAAAGAACCTGAAAGATAGTACATTTAAACTTGCTCTTTATTATTCATGTAGGCATTTTCAATCAATATAAAACAGAAGATCTTGCACTGATAAACAAGCCACGTAACAGTAGATAACCTTTAAACTCGATTTCTAAAGCCACAGCCAATATTTGCATTTCCTTCAGCTAATGGTTGTAATTGTATCATATTACTCAGGTCCAAGTTCATTCTTCAAAGAGCCATCAGAATAACATGGACTGAAGAGATTTTCGAACACTTGCCATTTCTTGCTGCTGCTGTTACAAGAAAGGAGATATTAAAGAAATGTTTAATAACTTTCATAAGTGACTTTAATATACTATTTGATAAAAAACATGTAATGATTTAATCTTAATTTTTTCAGTTAAAAATATACCATATTATTATTACTTACAGTGTCCATCATAATTTTCTTTTGTAACATGGCCATTTCTTTTCTAAGTTCATTTTGTGCACCTGTAAGAAGGCTTTCGTGATTCTTCTCCAAGTCTTCCATATTCTACAAAGTAAAAGGCCAATACTTGGTTATTAAATACTACTTGTCTGTTCTAAAGTCTAATGATTCAAGAGTTAGCTATTAATAGTGAAGTACACACAATTATCTGCCCCATGAGTGTGCTGGGTTAATGGAAGAGGCAGGAAACCCTCAAACCCTCTTATCTACCTTCTTAGGTACAGGAGACAAGGGCTGAATGAATCCTGTTAGAAATGTCCATTATTACTAGTAAACATACGGGAGAATAATAAGCAAGGCAAAAATAACCATATTTGTGATAGCAGTAATACAGTTTAAGGTCCCCTATGGGCTGTGCAGGCATTGGGCTAAATGCTGGGGATACAAAGAGATGTATGTACCAGTTGAATTAGGCCAGTTGTTATACCATGAGAGACACAAGATATGCGTATGCAGAGAGATATATATATATGTATGTATATGTATATATATGTATATATGTATGTGTATATCTATCTATCTATCTATATATATATATATTTAGTAAAATAGCATTTTTTAGGCCTACTATATAGTATTTAAGATTCTGTGACAAGCTGGAGGAGAAAGGGGTGAGAAAAGGTTTCCTGAACAGTATCATCTGAAGACAATAATCCAAGTTTCTTACTAATAGTCATTTTCAACCTTCCCTCCAAATGGTCCTTAGTGATTTAGGAGAGGACCTAATTTACCTAGCAATACTTTATCAATAATTGATTTAGGAGAAGACCTAATTTACCTAGCAATACTTTATCAATAATTAGTTTGTATCAACACAAATTTATTAAATAGCTAACATTTAGATACAGCATTTACTATGTGCTCTATACACTGTGCTAAGCACTTTATAATGATTACATTTGATCTTCATAACGACCCTGGGGGGAGGAGCCTGAAGCCTCATTTCAACTCAGGACTTCTTGAGCCCGGGCTTGGAATTCTATCCGTTCTTAGTAACGAATTCTGACAGACTTGTACCACATAACTTCAGAACTCAAAGGAGGCTGACAGGCTGAGGGTGTCCTGCAAGTCTTAGCGCGCTTTCGGCTGTATGTGGAGATTTAGGTACAAAGGCAAGAATCGCCAGGTCTTCCAACCAGACTTCACCAAGTCCTTTGTTGTTACTGGACTGCCCTCTATATTCTCTGCAGCTTAATAGTTTCTTTCCTAAACTGGTACCTAGAATCGAAAATAGACTATGTGGTCTGACCAGGGCAGACTACCTCTATATTTGTTTTCTTGATATTTTGATAGCAGCATTTCAATAGAATTAGTATCTTTGTTATCCTTTGTTTTTATTTCATGCATTTAAGAACATGATTTTGAGAAACAGTCCATAGGCTTCACTGCCCTGCAAAAGGGGGCCAAGACACAGAAAGGTTAAAAAAAAAAAACCTGTTCTGAGGTCAGTCAACAAGTGTATATAATTATTAATAGTAGCGGGCATTTACACAGCACCTACAAAATGATCTCATTTGTTTGTCACGACAACCTTGGAAGGAGGGTGCTAACATTCTCCCCATGTGACAGTTGAGGCATCTGGTTAAATTACTTGCCCCAGAGTCACCCAGCCACTGTCTGAGGCTGGATTTGAACTTGGGTCTCCCTGACTCCAGGCCCAGAGCTTTCTATAAATAAAAGCGCAAACAGCCCCTTTCCTCCCCCCTCCTCTCTCCTCAGTTGTCTCACCTAATGGGAGAGACAACACGCCAACAACAACGATGCACACACAGCATCCCTACAGAAGAGATAGGGGGGTCACCTCAGAAGGAAAGCACCCAACCATGAGGGGAACCGGACAGACCTGCTGCAGAAGGTGGGATGTGAGCGGGGCCTGAATCAAGCCAGGGCAGCCCAGAGGCAGAGTTAAGGAGGGATGGACGGGGGTGGCATGTCCAGGCTGTGAGGTCAGAAAGCACGGAGATCACAGAGTATGAGGGGGGACAGTCAAGGTTATAAAAAGCCCAAGACAGGATTTCCCATTTGGTCTTGGAGGTAAGAGGGAGCCAAGCAGGGGCTGCCATGATCACACCTGTACCGTAGGAAGGTCACTGGCCCCGAATGGAGGGGATTGGGATGTGGAAAGATGAGGCCAGGTGGACCTAGCAGAAATTGACTGCAGGAGTCTGGGTGAGAGGTGACAAGGGCCTGTACCAGGCAGGGGACGGTGAGTGGAGAGAAGGTACGTCCACAAGAAAGGTGGATCAATCACCTTCTGAAGCAGCCCATCCCACTTCTGTCAAGTTCTAATGGTTAGGATGTTTTGTTTTGTTTTTTCCTTGAAACCAAGCCTGAATCTGTCTCTCCTCCACCCACTGCTCCTGTTTCAATCCTCTGGACCCAAACCAAGAAAAGCCTAATCCTTCCTACACACAACCCTTCAAATACCTGAGCACAGTTATCACATCCCCTACTGAGGCTGATCATCTAGAAATGACAGCAGAAGAAGATGTCACCTTCATCACAGGGGATTGGAATGCTAAAGTAGGAAATCAAAAGATAATTGGAATAACAGGCAAGTTTGGCCCTGGAGTACAAAATGAGGCAGGGCAGAAGCCAATGGAGTTTGGTCAAGATAACTTGTTGGCCATAGCAAACACTTTTTCAATGCAAAAGGTGACTCTGCACATGGACATCAGATAATCAATACAGAAATCAGATCGATTATATACTTGGCAGCCAAAAATGGAGCTCTATAGAGTTGGTTAAAACAAGACCTAGAGCCCACTATGGTTCAGATCATGAATCTCTTAGTGCAAAATTCAGACAAACTGAAAAAAGTAGGGGACACTATCAGAACATATAAGTATGATCTAAATAACATCCTTTATGAATATGAAATGGAAATGATGAATAGATTTAATGGATTTGATCTGGTAGACAGTGTGCCTGAAGAACTATGGACAGAGGCTCATGATACCATACAGTATACAGGAGGCAGCAACAAAAAACATCCAAAAGAAAAAGCAGAGCCAAGAAAGCAAAATGGCAGTCTGATGAGGCTTTACAAACAGCTGAGGAAAGGGAAAGATATAGCCAATCGAATGCAGAATTGCAGATAATAGCAAGGTAAGAAAAAAAAAGGTTTACTTAAATGGGCAAAGCAAAAAAAAAAAAAAATGGAAAACAACAGAATGGAAAAAATGAGAAATTAGAGATAGAGAATAATATAGAGAATGTTTCTTGCAAAAATGGGCAAACAACAAAAATGGCAGGGACTTACAGAAGTAGAAGAGATTAAGAAAAATGGCAAGAATATTGTTGTTCAGGTTTTTCAGTGATGTACGACTTCACGACTTCACCACTCCTTGTGGGATTTTCTTGGCGGAGATACTGGAGTGGTTTGCCATTTCCTTCTCCAGTTCAGTTTACAGATGAGGAAACTGAAGAAAAGAGTGTTAAGTGACTTGCCCAGGATCACACAACTAGAAAGTCTAGATCTGAATTCAGGGAAATGAGTCTTCCTGACTCCAGGCCTGGCACTCTATCTACTGCACTATCTAGCTACCCTGGGCAAGAATACACAAAAGAACTATACAAGAAAAGCCTTAACATCACCAATAACCATGATGGTTACTGACCTAGAGCCAGACATCCTGAAGAATGAAATCAAGTGGGCCTGCCTTAGGAAGCCTTGTTAACAATAAGGCTAGTAGCAGTGATGGAATTCCAGCTGTACTATTTAAAACCCTCAAAGATGAGGGTGTTAAAGTGCTGCACTCCATACACCAGCGAATTTGGAAAACTCAACAGTTGCTAATGGTCCCAACCCTACAGAAGGGCAATGCCAGGGAACGTCCAAATGACCAAACAATTGTGCTCATTTCACACACTAGCAAGGTCATGCTTAAGATTCTGCAAGCTAGGCTTCTGCAATACGTGAACCAAGAATCACCCGAAGAGCAGCTGGGTTTTCCGAGAGGCAGAGTAACTAGAGACCAAATTGCCAACATTCACTGAATTATGGAGAAAGCAAGGGAGTTCCAAAAAACATCAACTTCTGCTCCATTCGCTCCACTAAAGCCTCTGACTGTCTGGATCACAACAAAATGAGTCAAGTCCTCAAAGGGCTGGGAGCACCAGATCATCTTACTTGCCTCCTGAGGAACCTGTATGGGGGTCAAGAAGTAACAGAACCAAACATGGAACAACTGATCAGTTAAAGACTGGCAAGGCTGTATATTGTCACCTTGTTTATTTAACTTAAATGCAAAGTACATCGTGCAAAATGCCAGGCTGGACAAATCAAAGGAAGGAATTCTGTTTGCCAGGAGAAAGATCAACCATCTCAGATACACAGACGCTACCGCTCTGATGGCAGAAAATGAAGAGAAATCAAGAAGCCTCTTATGAGGATGAAAGAGGAGAACGTATAAGCTGATTTGAAGCTTAACATTAAAAAAAAAAAAAGATCTTGGCAACTGGTCCCATTGCTTCTGGCAAATGGAGGGAGAAGAAATGGAAGCGATGCTAGATTTTATATTCTTAGGTTCAAAGACCAGTGCAGACAGCAACTGCAGTCATGAAATTAAAAGACACTTGTTCCTTGGAAGGAAAGCTATGGCAAATCTGGACAGCAAACTAAAAAGCAGAGCTATCACCTTGCCAACAAATGTCTGTACATTCAAAGCTACAGTTTTTCCAGTAGCAATGTATGGCTGTGAGGAAGGAAAACTGAGCATACAGAATTGATACTTTTGAATTGTGGTGCTGGAGAAGACTTCTGAGAATCCCTTGGACAGCAAGGAGCTCAAATCATTCAGTGTTTAAAGAAATTAATTCAGACTATTCACTAGAAAGTCATATACTGAAACTGAAGCTGAAATATTTGGCCACAGAATTGGCCATTGTGGGGGGGAGGTAGGTAGGGTGTGTGTGTGTGTGTGTGTGTGTGTGTGTGTGTGTAAATAGGGTACTCACCTCCAGATAGCTTCCTGTTTTCCCTAGTATGTGAAGTCTCCCAGAAGCCCCTACTGCTTAGGCAGTGTGGATTACTACTATAACAGGGTTGGGGAAGGGACATGGGACAGGCACATGGTGTATAATGGATGCTTTGATATCATTATGTTCCTTTTACCACTTTGTTTAAACATTTTTCTAAAGCAATGATATTTATAGAGGTAACTAAAGCATACAAAAGAGATGTTAAGGAACTTAATGGGTTAGAAGATGAAGGCAAACAAGCCAAGTAATCCAACTGAAGGAAATACTAATGCAACCCTAAATGCAGACAAGAATCCAACAACACCCATGTGGCAGGAGAACTAAAGGGAACAATCAGCTGCCCTGACATCCTGACAGAGGAACAGAAGGGACTGACAAACCCCCACCAGAGCTCTCTGGTTTGGTTTTGTTGAACCCTTTACACCTGGTTGACTTTGTTCTTGGACAGCATCCCACCTGCAGCCAAACTCCGGCTGGATGACTCTCAAATCCACCTGTCCAGCCCTAACCTCACTGCGCTTCTCATCAGCGTTTCCAACTCCTTACTGGACATCTTGGCTCATGATTCTCCCGCCAATGCCCTGAAACCCTCTCTTCTTCACCGCTCTCTTCCCAGGCCTCCAGGCCCACCCCCTCAGTGTCCTCATCAACTCTTCCCTCTCTCATCCCCCATTTCCAAGCTGTTGCCAAAGCCTATCAAGGTCACCTTCGTAACATCTCTCACATATGCTCCCCTCTCTCTTGACGCTGCCCCCACTCTAGTACAGTTCCTCATCACCTCACACCTGGACTAGTAAAATAGCTACTGGTGTGTTTGCCTGCCACAAAGCTCTCCTCACTCCAGTCCATCTTCCACTCAGCTGTCACTAGGGATCCTAAAACTCCATGGCTTCCTGTCATCTATAGGATCAAATAAAAAATCCTCTGGCATTCAAAGCCTTTCACAACCTGGACCTTCTCCCCACCAACCTTTCCAGTCTTCTTACAACCTACCCCTCCCCCAACATTCTGTGATCCACTTATACTGACCTGCTTGCTCTTTTTTACACAAGACCTGCCATCTCCCCACAAGAGCATTTTTATTGGCCCTTTCCGAAACCTGGAATACTCTCCCTCTTCATCCTCACCTCCTGGCTTCCTTTAAGTCCCAGCTAAAATCCCAACTACTACATAAAGTCTTTCCCAATGCCCTTTAATTCTAGTGGCCTCCTTCTGTTAATTATTTCTAATTTATCCTGTCTATAGCTTGTTTGTACAGTCATTTGCATGCTGTCTCCCCCACCAAATTCCTTCAGAGCAGGGATTGTCTTTTTTTTGCCTTTGTTTGTCTCCTAGTGCTTATCATAGTGCTTGGCACACAGTAGGCATTCAACATTTACTAACTAATAGATGGTTAGTAAAATGTCAGAGCTTGTACTCCAGCAACAGAGAAAGCCAAGGGTAACCTCTAAAACACAATGGAGTATTGAAATAGAGCTTCTGTCAACATTTCCCATCAATTCAGAAAAACTGTAAAAGCTCCCATTATGTTCTTGAAATGTAGTAAGATAATGCATATACCAGACCTTTAAGAACTGTTCATATAGTTGTTTAATTGTTTTCAGTCTCTGGCTCTGAACTATTCTGGCTTGTTGGAAAACCTTTTGCTGTTGTCGAAACATATTCTAAAAGCAAAAATAAGATAGTCAAGATCTTACAAAATGAAAATTATGGCTACAAAAATTCAACCCTAGATTTAATAATGACTGAATAGCAACAAATTCATTATCACCATGGTCTAATAGTCCTATTTACCTGTCACTACATAAAATAATTCTTAAAGCATGTCAAAAGGAAAACAACACATATTTAACTCTACTGAAAGGTTAGGAATGGACATTATCTTAGTCCCTGTGTAGCAAAGACAGACATGAATCTTCTTCCACCAGAACCTGTTCCTCTGGACTCCATTATTTCTATCTGAATTGAGAATGACTTTGAGGTTGCAAACCTGGGGACTATGATAGTGATGCTCTCAACAGAAATAGAAAGTCAGAGAGGAGGATTTGAGAGTAACGATGAGTTCTTTATTGAAGCCTTTCCCGATAATTTCAGTCAATAATAACTGTTCCATACTCAAACTACTTATAGCTCTTTTCTTACCCCTCCTTCATGCATTTACTATGCATTGTTTTTTTATCATCTTCTTCTGTCATAGTCCTCTATCAGACTATAAATCCCATGAATATAGGAATCAAGTTTTATCTACATTTTCTGTTTTTCTAGCACACAGTAAGTGCTCAATAAATGTATAATAACAATAGCTAGTATTTTATTTATAAAGTACTTTAAGGTTTGCAAAGTGCTTTGCTAATATTATCTTATTTTATCCCTATAACATCTCAGAGAGTAGGTGCTATTATATCCTCATTTTACAGATGAGGACTTCAGGCAGACAGAAGTGACTTCCCCTTGGGTCATACAACCAGACGCCAGATTTGAACTTGGGTTCATTGAACTCCAGGTTCAACGCTGTATCCACTGTGCCACCTAGCTGCCTTTAGTGTGTATGTACATGTGTGCGTGTACATTTTTTTTTTTTACTGTAACACTTAACAAATATAAAAAAAGGTTATAGATTTAACTATTTATTGCTGATAATATTTGTTACATGGTAAAATCTATTTTAGAAGAGAGCTTCAAGTAATAGAGGTTATGAATTGAAGTATGATTTGTGAGAATTGGCCAACAGGATAATATAAATAATCAAAAGTGAGCTATAATCATCAGACCTGAATCGCTCATTCTAGCACTGGCGATCCTTCAACATGTGGCTGGCCCCACTCTCTGGTCTCCGGACCACTTCAGCCACTCGTCTATTCACTGTTTCCAACACAAACCACTCTCCTCGGTTCACAATATTCCTTTTGCCTACAAGTCCCTCTCCTTCCCTTCCCAAGTAGCCAGATGCTTCTTGTCCTTTCCTTCTTCCAAATGAGATTTCTACTACAGAAGTCTTCACTAACTACTCAATTCAGCCTCCTTATCTTGCATCCCTCCTTCTACCTGGAATTGTTATTTCTTTCATATGGATAGAGCTTATCTTCTCATGAGATGATAAACTCACAAGAGTGGGATCTCTGCTTCTTTATAGGAAATGGGATATAGGAGATAGAGCAGCAGCCTTGAAGTCAGGAAGACCAGCTATATGACCCCAAGCAAGTCACTTAATCTCTTCCAGCCTCAGTTTCTCATTAACAAAATGGGGATAATAATAGTGCTTACTCACAAGGTTGAGAGGCTCAAAAGATTTTATCTGTACAACGTTTTGCAAAATATAAAGTGCTAAACGTGAACTATTATTTCTGTCTCTCCATAGCCAATAGACATTATAAGTGCTGAATAAATATTTGCTGAATTGTTGAAACATTTAGTTAGCAGTTGAGTTGTTGAAATATTTAGTTACTGTACACCTAAGTTATTTAAATATAACTAAATGAATTATACAAATACACATTAGCTAAATGTGCCAATTCAACAAACATTTTCTGTGTGTACATTTGTAACACTGTATTATGTGCTATGGGGAAGTACAATGAAGTATGTTATTTTAAAAGGAAAAAAATTATCATTCTTAGCATGAAATCACAAATTCTTAGAGATGGGCAATGTAAAGTAACTGTGATATGATCAATTAATTTGTGTTAACTTCAACTGCAAGACATGGTTAACTGAAGCACTCCCGTATCAATGTAAAATCAATGTAAAACCTAAGCACTCAAAGAGGAGAGCTGACATAATCATATAGACAACAGACCTGAAAACAACCAATATATTTTTTCTGTTAGACCAAATGAGGGGACAGGATACAATGGATGGTTAAAAGTCCTACATCTAAAATCCCACAAGGAAAACTACTCCATAGCCACCTCTCTTAGGATATACTACACAAGTAATTTTTAAATAACACAGTAGAAGTGCTTTGGCTATTTAAGAATCAGGAAAAAATTTAAAATATTTTATGACTTTGTGATTTAAAGACATTTATTACTAATTTTAGTTATGAAGCAAGTAATAACCAATATTAGTGGTATTCTACCACTTTTTTTTTAAGAAGAGAAGGAAGACATGATAAAATGAAAAGAAAGACATGCAAAGTAAAGAGTACTGGGTTCAAATTCTGGCTTTGACACTTCTTTGCTTTATGACCACAGGCAAGACATTAAAATTCATTGAGCTTTAGTATCCTTATCTGTAAAATGGGGATAATATTTGCATGAAGTTGTTATAAGGAAAATGAGTCAATACTAATATTATGACTTCTGATCTTTTAAAGTAGAAGAAAATTGGCTTTTCTGGGCACATGCCCAGTTTGACCCTGAATCTGTGAAGGTAACACAGCTAACAAGACCACATGACAGAACGAGCCACGGGCAAGGGCAGATCATTCAATTCCACAGGATTATTACCAGGCAATTATCTGTATTTTTCCACAGTTAATTATAAAATATCAACTATAAAGTATGCCAAGTACAATACCAACAGCTAGTTTTTCTTCCTGTTCCTCAGCTTTCTGAACATCCACATCCCACTGCTGAAATAAGGTCAGGAACTGCTGAGAATATTCTTGGTTGAGTTTTTGCCTATTAAAAGAACCATGAACACCATTATTATCATTATTAAAATTAATCAATTTTCTGAAGTAACTGAACAATTTACATAACTAATCAAGTGTTTCATCATAAAGGGGAGGTGACTCTGAGTTGTCACACCACTGGAATGAAATTCTAGCAAATTCAATCAAACTTTAAACACCTAGCAGTGGACTATCTGCCACCACCGGACCAACCTATCTGGATTCAGAAACACTGCTAGAAGAGTGGTCATCAGGTAGTGATTACTTTTTACCACAACTACTAATGAAAACAAACTACTAAGGGATGGAGTGACTGCAATTTGTACAAGTAGAAGAGCTACCCATACTGATTAAATCACAGATCCATGAAAGAGAAGTAATTAATGTAATATAAAAAAAGGTAAGGCATTAATACTACCAGAATTTTTTGAGGGAAGTTGTTAAATATAAGTATTTAAAAAATTTTTTTTGAGTCATCTTTTATCATTTTGGGTTACAATCATAGAGAAAAGTGCTCAGGATTTCACAAAATGGCAAGAGAACATCATTCACTGGGAAAAAATTCCAGGGCTACATTTCCCATTTCTCTTGTCCAGGACTCTTATTGGCAGAGAGTTTTCTGACAGATGGGGGTTTTTTTTTTTTTTTTTAGGCAATTGGCGTTAAGTGACTTGCCCAGGGTCACACAGCTAGTAAGTGTCAAGTGTTTGGTCTGAGGCCGCATTTGAACTCAGGTCCTCCTGACTTCAAGGCCGGTGCTCTATCCACTGCACCACCTAACTGCCCCAGAGAAGAGTGAAATTAGCACCACTCTCAGCCTTGACACTTTTTTTTTTCCTTTTTTTTAGGCAATTGGGGTTAAGTGACTTGCCCAAGGTTACACAGCCAGCAAGTGTCAAGTGTTTGGTCTGAAGCCAGATTTGAACTCAGGTCCTCCTGACTTCAAGGCCGGTGCTCTATCCACTGCACCACCTAGCTGCCCCTCAGACGCCTTAAAAGACAAAGCTGGCAAAGTGGAGGTGAAGAGAGCCACCAAAGGAAAGCTACAGACTGGAGTCACAAGAAGACAGGAGGGGCAATACATGGAAGGGGATCACCATGGCATTCCTGAACTCAGAAGTACCTGAATTCTGATAGAGCTGAAAGGTTTCCTCCAAAGTCCACGCAGCAGGTAGCAATGAACCCTACACTTCTGCCAGTGGACTATAAGTTCTGAAATAACTGTATTATTCTAGCTGGGATAGATTATAATCATTCTGGAATTTATAAGGAATTTATTTTACTTATTATTTATCCATAGCGACAGATAACATTCTATTACTTGATTGTCTTACACTGCATTTCTCTTGATTAACTACTTTCCTGTGACTCTTGCACAGTCTGTAAACAGAACATGTGAGCTTGGGATTTCATTTGCAAAATGGTTAACAGCTAGTTAACAATGACAGGGGTCCCTACTCCAGGGGAAAAGTCCTCAGAGTTTTCTGGCACCTGATCTTACATAGAGTTTTTCTCTAACATAAAATTTTGTGACTTTTGTTCTTGAAAAAGGATGGAATTTTTATCATGATCACAGAAAAGGTTTTTTTTTTCCAATTAGAATTAGTGGAAGTGGGAGAAAATAGTTTTTTATTAATTGAAAAAAATTAAGATATGATTGATGGGGGAAAACATATTTTGTTCTACCAAATTAAGTGCTTTTGAAAAAATCAATAAACAAAAAATACTAAGGAAAACTAATTTTGGCTTGAAACAAATATTTGATGTCAATTTTATACTTTAAAAGAATAAATGGGTTCATTTCAAAATATGAATATGAATTTATGATATAATTAGGTTATATAAGATTTCAATATATTTATATCAATTTACTTTTCTCTACTTTAGCACTACACAGATTTCATTCAATGACTGATCCAACAAAATTCATAAAATATTTTATGAACTCCTAAGTACATAACAGTAACAAATGTTTTTTTAAATAAAAAATTTACTTTTGCAAAAAAACAATTTTTTTTAACAAACAGTAACAAATGAGAACAGACGACTGAAAGATGACTATCAGCAGATTGAATTAAGAGGGTTTTATGGAGGACATAGATTATGAGTTGGTACTTAAAGAATGGGAAGGAAGAGGTCAAAAGGCAGAAAAACTGGGAGGAGAAAGGGGACTCCAGGTACAGAGATGGTGTAAACAAAGAAAAAGAGATGGGAAATCACAGGACATGTCTGAGCAACAAACAGTCCATCAGGCTGGGCTGTAAAACACTTAAAGAGAGTTGTATGAGACAAAAGTGTTAAGGTAGGAAGATCAGAAAGATAGATTCTAGAGTCTTCCATGTCAGGCTAAGGAGCCTAAATTTCATTAAACAGTGAAGATGGAACACTGAGTATTTTTTAGAAGTGTCAGGTCCTGTGCATTAAGAAAATTAAAATAGCAGCATTACGTAGGATGAAAGATGGGGAAGAAATGGCAGCAGGGAGAAAGGTTAAGGAAACCAGTGCAGCATTGCAGATGAGAGGTAACAACGGCCTAAACTGGGATAACAATAGAAATATTGTAAATATCTAATCAACCATTTTAATATATTGGATGAAGGAGGAGTCAAAATGAAGCCAAGATAGGCTACTGGGAGGATGATGCCACTGACAGAAGGGAGTCAAGAACGGCAAGCTTAGGGAGAAAGATGGCTTGAGGTGCTAATGGGCCTATCCACATAAATACAGAATTAGAGCTGGAAGGGATCTAAAGAGTCATCTACATCTTGCCTCTTCATTTCAGAGATGAGGAAAATGAGGACCAAAAGAGAGCAGTGTCATTTCAGCCAGATGAGGTCTCAGATCCCGCACTCAATTGAAGTCCTCTGACTTCAATGCCCTTTCTAGTAAACCGTGCCTTTATCTTTTATTTTTAAGGAAAACAAAGATGACTTATGTGTTTCCTAGAAAAATGTTCATATGCTGTTGTGAGTGACAAGACCCAGAAAGGAGTCACTTCATTCTGAACCCTAGCCTTCACGAGGAGTTCGCTTTCCTGATCTCTAGAAGAAGGAACAGCAGATGTGGGCCTTGACAGACCCACCCAGACACAGCACGTCGGGATTTCTACTTCAGATGGACATGTAGGAAACGTCTATTTTTTTTTTTCTAAGAAAGACATGCTGTGAAAACTGGTCAAAAGCAGAGGTTCTTAACTTGGGGCTCTCTGAACTTTCTTAAAAACTATTTTGAATTACAAATATTTTGGTTTCCCTTGTAACCCCATATATTTTATCTTATGCTTTTAAAAACATTAGCACAATGCCTGGGACATAGTAGTTGATATGTAAATTCTTATTCTCTTCTCTATTCCCTTAGCCCCTTTTCTACACTCCCATTTTCCAAGAGGAAATTGGAAATATGAATATGTGGCCACACAGAGAGATCAGAATTGGAGATGTAGATTGGTAGTCCTCCACAAAGACTTAAAGCCAAAACACTAGTTCTCCCAAAGCAGACAATACAAAAAGAAACCTAAGAACAAATCCTTTAAGAACAGCCAGAAAGATAAGGGCCAGTGAAGAGAATGATAAAATTTCAGATTAAAGCTCTCAGAGGTCTTCTAATCCAATCCCCACACGAAAATGAATACCTCTACAGCAAGTGGTGTTAAACTCAAACAGAAAGAGGGGCCAGTAATCCGTACACAAGGGTCCCTGTGAGCAGCATACTGACTTAGCTTTAAAATATAATCTTATCCATTTTTAATTATTCTGTTCAATATTTCCAATTACATCTGAATCTGGTTCAGGTCGCACTCAGGACACAGGAATGTTGTGGGCCACGTGTTTGACCCATGGGCTCTAGAGCAGCTCTGACCAGCAGTCACCCATACAGGGCTTGCTGTTCTCTAGTAAGAAAGAACTCAAGAAGCAGTCAGAGGCAGGAGAAAGCCTACAAGAGTGTGACACAAAGGGAAGATGTTCAGCAGGAACAAGTAGTCAACAGCATCAGTTTCCATAGAAGTCAAAGAAAAAAACCACTGATCTTGAGCATCAAGAAGTGACTTCCTCTTTGAGGACTGAGGGTGTGAATATAGGATAGTAAAAGCTTTTCTCTCTCACACTTAGAGAAAAACAGTCCAATATGTTTTTCAGTTAGTACACCATTAAACACAAAATAAAACTACCTTTTCACTGCACATTTTGCATTCATGTTGGAAAAAAAGATAGTTATTAAAGAAAAATAAATCCTTACCTCTGCTCTTGTTGTGTTTTCCACACATGCTCAATTTTCTGATTGCTAGTTTTAAGAGAAGCCTTAGTATACATTTCCAATCTTTTCCTCTTTGCAAGGAGAGCCTTGTTAATATCAGCTATAATGAAATATTTATCAAAATTTCACGTTGTGAAGTTTATATACTGACAACACAAATTTAAGCAAACTGATTTGAGTTCATCACCTAGTAGTTCATTACTACTAGGAAGCCTTGATATATTTAAATTTAAAATATGCATTGTACCAACTGTTACAAAAAGGTGGTTCTTTCCCTAATTTATAATCTTTTTCCTAGAAAAATGCTTCCAGGTGGGCTACAGAAATTCTTGCAACTTTTTATAACATCTAAAATCCAGTGCTTTTCACTACATTCTTTATCTACCTCCCCCCAATATTGGAGTATGTTTAAGTAAAGGGTAACTTATTCTCTCTTTCCTAGATTACATGTGTATATAAATGATTTTGAGGATGAACGCTAATTCTTTCATGTTTTAAGTTATAAATTTGATGAAATTTTCTACTCAAGATAGAAAATATCAATGAATTTAGAGAATTTACAGAAAATAAAAGCATACTCAAGAATTTCTGAAATTCAAGCTTTTAATTAGCTCAAATCTAATCCCACCAATAATCATTTATATGCACCATGGCATAAATTAAATGTAGCTCATAAAACTACTTCATTAGTGATTGCATCTAAGAATAGGCAGTCTATCATATGTGTGTATGTGTGTGTGTGTGTTTGTAATTTAACTTATTTAAGCTATAGTGTTGTACAATGGAAAAAGCAATGGAACTGGACTCAAAAGATTTGGGTTCAAATCCTACATCTGACATTACCCTGTGACCTTGGGCAAGTCACTTAACCTTCAATGGTATCAGTTGGCTCTGTGAAAAACAATAATAGCTAATAATACATCTATGTGGTACTATGTCTGCTAACAGCTTTACTAATATTATCTCATTTTATCTTTACAATAGCCCTGAGAGAAAGATGCTTTTATTATCTACATTTTACAGATGACCAGAGGGAAGCAAACAGAAGCTATGTGAGGTGCCCAAGGTCACACAGATAACAAACGTCTGGTGTGCTATTTGAACTCAAAGCTTCTTAGCTCCAGGCCCCAGGCCCTAAACCAGGGTGCCCTCTAGAGAAGATTGGACTAAAATGGCCTCTGAGGTCACCTCTAGCCCAAGATCAAAGCCTGCGTGTTATTTTGGGAGACAATGAATGCACCTTGAGAACAAGAATGGCTTCGTTTTTCTCTTTGCATCCCCAGTTCCTAGCACTGTGCCTGGAATATAGGAGGCATTTAATAAACTCTTACTAGAGTCTAGGCTGGACCTCCCCAGTTCCTTTTCCATACAGTATTTCCTAGATTAAGTTAAATGTGAATATAAAAATACATTCCTACTAAACGCTTTCCTTCAGCACAGCTACTCATTCTTCACATTAAAAATGAGCAAACAATGAGGGAACCCTACATACCAAATACATCTCTAAAATCAAATGTAAGTGAAACAGTACACAAGGCCCACAAACCTCTTGAAGTCTGGCCATCCTATGATTCTATCATCTTCTACAAATTTTACCAAGCATAAGCTTTAAACAAGAGTATCTTTAAATATAATGGAATCTTGGAACATACCTCCAAATCTTTCCAACATGTTCTGTACTTCACCCCTAAAGAAATTATAATTTAGTTGTACATTTTTAAAAATATTTCGAAAGGAGTATTTTTTTCATAGAGCATTTTCTACTTGCAAAGTAGACTTGTATAAAAACATTTAACTAAAAACCCTACAAAGTGTAGGCATAGAGAGATCTTTTTTTTAATATAAAAAGCAACTATCCAAAACCAAAGGCATGCATCATATATAATGAGGATAAACGAGATATAAGTACAAGAGTAAAGCAACGATGTGAACCCACTCTCTCCTCTACTATTTGATATAGTTCTGGAAACGCTAGCAACAGCAATAAGATGAGAGAAAGAAATTACAGGCATAAAAATAGGTACAGAAGAGTTAAAACTCTCTACTGGCTGATATGATGGTATAATTGGGAAATGTTGGGAAATCAGCAAACATACCAATTAAGACAATAACTTCATCAAAGGTGAATGCAAAATAAACACTTAAGGAACAAAATAGATAAAAAGAATAAAATAAACCCTCAAAATACAATCTACAAAATAAACCCACAAAAATCAACTTCATTTCTATAATAACAAAATAAAAAAAAATAGAAAGGGAAATCCCAATCCAAATAACTACAGAATCCACAAAATATCTGAGAATTGACCTAAGAAAGCACGAAAAAGACTTGTATAGATTCAATTACAAAGTGTTCCTTAAGGAAATAAAGAACTTTAAAAAGCTGCATGACTGAAACAAGCCCAATGACAATACAACCAAAGTTAATTTACACTTTTAATGCTATACCAATCAAATTACCAAGAGGATGCTTTATAGAATGTGACAAAATAGTAACAAAATTTGTTTGGAAAAAAACCAAAAGATCTAAAATATTAAGTGAAATAGTGAAAAGAAGTAGAGGTGAAGGGGGAATAGCATTTTCAGATTTTGAACTATATTATAAAACAGAAGTCATTGAAACCATCTGGTATTGGTTTAAAAAAAAATAGAAAAAGGAGATCAATGGAAGAGACTAGATAGCAAAGAATCAGAAACAATGGAACCCAATAATCCAGTGTACCATAAATCGGGAAACATAAATTACTTGAGGAAAAAGAACCTCCCTGAACAAGCTGGAAAACTGGAAAGCAATCTGGCAGAAAGCTTACCACCCCTTACATTCTAAATGGATCCATGACCTTAATATTAAAGCTTATACTCTTAAAAAAATCACTATTACTAAAAAGAAGTGCAATTCAAAACAACCAAGCGGTTGCACCTCAACCCCTGCTGATTGGCAAAATGACTATAAAATGACAACAATCAAGGCTGGAGGAGTTATGGGATGATAGGTGTGCCAATTCATTGTGGGTGGAGCTGCGAATTGGTACAAGCATTTTGGAAGGCAATTTGGAACTATGCGCATAAAGTGACTCAAATGTCTACACCCTTTGACCTAGGGTGAAACAATTCCATTACTGAGCTTATATCCCAAAGAAAATATAAATAAGAAGAAAGTCTCCATATCCACCAATCTATTTATAGTAGCACTTTTTGTGATAACCCCAAATTGAAAACAAAGTAGATGCCCATTGACAGGGGAATGGCTAAACAAATTGCAGTGCATAAATGTAATAGCATATTACTACGTGGTAAGAAATGATGAATTGATAAATACAGAGAAGTATGGAAAGATCTACATGAACTGAGGCAAAGTAAAGTAAGCAGAGCCAAGAAAACAAAATACACAATAACAATGTAAATGAAAAGCACCACACACACACAAACACAAACTAAAAGTTAATACGGCAGAATTATAAACATCAAGCATGACCTAAAAGAAGACATATAGGTAGACACACTCTCTTTGCAAAGAAATTCACAGGTGTGGCACATTACATGTTTTCAGACATTTCTAATATTTTCATCAGCTGTGCTAATTTTTCCTCTTTCTTTTTTTCTTATTTTTTGTGGGGATTGGGGAGATCTTTAAAAAAGATTATTTGTTATATGAATGGCTGTCTAGGAGGAAGAGGGATACTGGAGGAAATTATGATACAAAAAAAAATATATCACTAAAAATTTATTTTAAAAAATTAACTGAATGAGATAAACTATTTTAATGATATTACCCCATATCTTCTTCAACTGTTTCATGACTAATGACTGTAGAAGGTCTTTTTTTCCCATGCTTTTCAATTACTGTCGTCTCTTCTAGAATTATGACAAAAGAGAAGAGTTGAAAATTAAGTTTGCTACTGTGGAAGATTCTCATGAAGCAATATTCTCATCTTTTGACCTTTTAGGTTACTGACTACAGTAAAGCTTTTTAAAACTATGCTTTGTTTTCACAACTATGTGGTATGGTGGTGATTCAAGGTACTCAAAGGCTGTGCCATTAGCATAGGTCCTACCAAAATGGAAAGGTTTTATGTGCAGGCCCAGTAACTGTATATCATTTGAGGAGCACTCTAGCTAAATTTGAAGAGGCGCATTGCCAGACCGGCTAAAGGATGATGACATTTCAATCATATTAGCCCAAAAAGGCTACTGACTAAGGTAGAGAGGGGATGTGACCTTCATCAGCTGAAGGAGACCAGGGAAATCAAAGACAAAGTATGAAAATTTCACCCATCTATAACCTAATTAATCATAGGGTATCTGAGTTCTTAAAGGCTATAATAATATATCACAAACATACATATGTATGAGCACATGAAATAAATGCAAACTTTGGGGGAAGAATATAAACTCTATTCTATTTATGTATTATGAATTATAAAATACACAATGCAATGCATTTCACACAACTATGAGCAGTATATACAACTGTTATCAGGATGTAAATTTGTTATACTGTACCTTCCCTAGCATATTCCTCAGAACCACTCAGATCTTTCTTGTCTTCTTTGTCAAAATCATAAGCTCGGCTCACTTGAGCTTCCATTGCTAGTTTCCCAGATTTCCCTGCATGTTTTCTTCCTGAAGGTGCCATAATTAGGCAATTTCTTACTGTAATAAGCGCAATATTTTAAACATTCATTTTAATTCCAAAGATTAAATCTTAAAGACATGACATAAGATATGTATATATAACATAAGATATACGAAAGAGGTGGGCACCAGTAAGGAATAATCAGACCATCAACAAACATATTAAGTTCTGACTATGGGCAAGGAAGGTATCAGGTGCAAAGTATAAATACAAAGCATAAAACAATCCCTGCTTTTAAGGAACTTGCATTTTTGCTAGAGAGCCATGGACATACACTGGCACGTACAGAATATATGCAGATAGACACACAAATAATTATATGGTAATGACACTAGCAGTTGTGGGGATTAGGAAAAGTTCTATGTAAAAAGTGGTCTTTTTGCTGTGTCTTGTGGGAAGTTAGGGATTTGAGAAAGCACAAGGGAGAAGGGAGTGCATTTTAAGACCAGCAGGTGACCAGCAAAGGCATAAAGACGGGAAATAGACTGTATGAGAACAACTAGAAAGTTAGTTTGGCTGGAATTGAAAATGGGAAGGAGACTATCCATGAAGTTGGAGTCTGGCTATAGCCAAGTTATGAAGAGCTGGAAAGTCAAACAGCACTGTTTTCTACTTCATTTTGGAGGTACACAGGGAGCCACTGAAATTTTCTTAAGAGAGTGACATGGACATATCTGCTCTTAAGAAAAACCACTTTGGCATCCATATAAAGTATAGATTGGAGTGGGGAGAGAGACCTGAGGAAGGTAGACCAACTAGCAGGCCATTGTTAATTGTCCAGCTGAAGGATTCCCCACTTAACATATTCCTGGACTATGCTACTTCCCCACTGGTTGCACTGACCAAGTGGAGATGACTGCCCTGAGGTTTACTTTGCTGATTTTTGAGCTCTGGCTAACATAACTATTTTTAAAAAAATATTTGTTTTTATTTCATTAAGTATTTCTCAATTACATGTAAAAATTTTTTAACATTGATTTTTTAAAAATTTGGTTTCCAAATTCTCTCCCCCTGCAGAAGGCAAGCAATATAATATTAAATTATACATGTGAAGTTACACAAAATATATTTCCATGTTAAGCATGGTACAAAAGAAATCACATACAAAAAAGTAAGAAAAATAAAGAAAGTAAAAAAAAGCATGCTTCAATCTGCACTCAGAGTTCATCAGTTCTCTGTCTGGAGGTGGACAGCATTTTCCATCATGCATCCTTCGGAGCTGTCTTGATCAGTTTCTAAGTCTTTCACAGTTGATGATCCTTACAACGTTGCTGTTACTGTGTACAGTGTTTTCCTCGTTCTGCTCACTTCACTGCGCATCAGTTCATATAAGACTTGCCAGGTTTTTCTGCAACCATCCCCGTCATCATTTCTTACAGCACAATAGTATTCCATCACAATCATACACCACAACTTGTTCAACCAATCCCCAGTTGATGGACATCCCCTCACTTCCAATTCTTTGTTACCACAAAAAAAAAGCCACCATAAAGATTTTTGTACATGCAGGCCCTTTTCCTTTTTCTCCGATTTCTTTGGGATACAGTCCTAGTAGTGGTATTACTGGGCCAAAGGGTGTGCAGTTTTATAGCCCTTTTCTTGTAGTTCCAAATTACTTTCCAAAATAGTTGGACTAGTTTACATCTCCAGTAACAGTGCATTAGTGTGATGACCATGTCTTGAGAAGTGTCAGCAATGCTGTTCACTTTAATCTCAGCTCAACTCAGTCTCTGGACTGCTAGTTTAGTTTACTATGTTTAGAATTCCAGTAGAAAGAATCCTGACAAGGAATTGAAGTATGTGGTGTTGTAGTCCTGCTTGGGCCACTAACAGTACATAAACTTTGCCAAATCACTTACTGTCACGCTGCCTCAATTTCCCCATTTGTAAAACAGGAATAATAGCACCTGTCTTAAATATTTAATATGGTTGTTGGGTGAATCAATTGATGAAAATCTGAAAAAAAGTTAAACAGGCACTACAAACCCAACGTAACAAAACAACCAACTACTTCAGTAAGTACCATGGGAAATATTGGTCTATAAAAAGGCCAAATACAATGGTGCTTTCTCAGCCCTCATCCTTCTTGACCTCTCTGCAGCTTATGACACCACTGATCACCTTCTCCTTGATACTCTCTTCTCTTTTTGGGACACTCTTCCCCCCCACCCCCAGTTTTCCTCCCACCTATCAGACCTCTCCTCTTCTGTATGCTTTGCTAGATATTCATTCAGGTTATGACTCTAACCATGGGTATCTCATAGGGCTCTGTTCTGGGGCCAATACAAAATCTTCAGTTTGGCATTCAAAGTCTTTTATAACTTGGCCCATCCCTACCTTTCCAGTCTTCTCACACTTCACCCTCATACTCTGCAATCCAGTGAGACTGGCCTCCTACTTGCTCCTCACACAAGACATTCCATCTGTCACCCTTTTCGACTTGGAATGTTCTCCTTCCTTATTTCCACCTCCTGACTTTCTTCAAATTTCAGATTAAACCCTGCCTTTCACAGAAAACCTTTTCTCTGTTGATTATTTCCTATTTATCCTGTTTATAGCTCCTTTGTACATATGTGTTTGCATGTTGAAACAGAAGACTTTGAAGTATTTCTGAATTTCTGATGAAAGACCAGAGTTTTTATATATATTATATAATATGTGTACATACACACACACATACTGTGAAGTTCAAATACAGGAGTCAAGAGAAACATACAACATAAATGAAGAATGATAATGGACTAAACAGGGATAAATTGCTTACATTCAAATATGGAGAGAAGATAAATATATCCCCTTGGAAGCCTATCATCATCAAAAATCATAAAGGGAATAATCTAATCAGATAAAAGGCCTGGGAGTGATTCTGTTATGTCTTGATCTTAAAAAAGAATAGAAAAAGGAAGAGAAAAGGAATACACTGGGGGAAAGGAGATGAAGGTAAGGGAAAATTATGTCACATAAGCAGAGTGCCTAAGAGTAGATGTATATACAAACAAGAAGAGTGGAGAAATGAATGACATGTGAACCTCACTCTTACTGAACTGGTCAAATGGTGGAGTATATACACACAGAGTTGAGTACAAAACTTTATTTCACTCAAAAGGAAAATAAGAGGGTAGGGGGAATTAGAGGAAGAGTAGATCAAAGGAGGGATTAGTTCTAAGCAAACAAAGAATGTACAAAAATATAGTTCTTTTTGAGGTGGCAAAGAATGGGGTTATGAGAGGATGGCTGAATAAGTTATAATACATAAATGTGAGAGAAAATTGCACTTAAGAAATGAAGATGATGGTTTCAGAAAAACCTTGGAAGACTCATATGAACTGATGCAGGGTAAGGTGAACAGAATCAGAACATTACAACAATGTGGTAAAGAAACAACTTTGAAAAATGAGAGACTCTATCCTTAATGACTAAGATTCCAGAGGATTAATGATGAAGGGGGGTGTGTGTGTGGGTGTGGGTGTGTGTGTGTGTGTCTCTGTGTGTGTGTGTGTGTGTGTGTGTGTGATAGCCAATACATAAATTTGTTTTGCTCCACCATACATGTTAGCAAGAGGGGTTTTGCGTTTCTTTCATTCTCAACAAGGGGCAAAAGGGGGGAGGAAAGAAAGTGGATTTTTCCTAAACGGAAAACATGTGTAATTTTTAAAAATCAGTATTAGTAGATTGAGAAAACTAAGTGTCAAAAATTTGGGGGGTCAGTTTTCTTTTCTTTTACTGAATATTATTTGTTATAAGGGGAAACTTCCATTTTGTGTAGAAGGGGGAAGATTTAATGGATTATGATAGAGATTTTTTAAAAATTAAGTCTGTCAATAAAACATTAATAAAACTCAAAGGAGAAAAAAGTCCAGAAGGAAACATAAAAATGGCAATTTTGTTACTACCATGTCAAATTTCAGATACTTAAAAAACTGTATGTAACATGTATTTATGATTTCATATACAATCCTCTTTTTTATTCTTCTCTGTTGAAATGTGTTTTTAAATTTTTTGTTTTGCTGTGTTTTTAAGAAAGGCTTTGGATAAGGCCACAGGTGATAGATGATACACAGATTACACACAGCAGTACAAAAGACAGTCTAAGTGCAGCTACACCCTTCACTAGAAAGTTGGCCATTAGCAAAAATAAATTTGGGGGGGAGGCGGGGCTGCCAAAACCAGACCTCATATTTTATAAAGCTCAGAGAAGCTGCAATTCAAACTGATGGAAGAAGCGTCAACAGTGGTCAAATCATGGAAGTTCTGAAATATATGAACAGTTAGTTTAAATAGTTTAGTTATATAGTTAGTTAAATAGTTAGTTTAGTTATATAGTTAAATAGTTGAATTCTGAAATATATGAACAGTTAGTTTAAACAGTTTATATAGTTAGTTAAATAGTTTAGTTATATAGTTAAATAGTTTAGTTCTGAAATGTATGAACAGTTAGTTTAAATAGTTTATATAGTTAGTTAAATAGTTCAGTTATATAGTTAAATAGTTTAGTTCTGAAATATATGAACAGTTAGTTTAAATAGTTTATATAGTTAGTTAAATAGTTCAGTTATATAGTTAAATAGTTCTGAAATATATTAATAGTTAGTTTAAAATACTTAAATGTGTGTTGTTGTTTTTTTTTTTAATCAAGAGAAATCCTCTGTTTCGTTTTATAGGCCGAGTATGAAGACAGGCTTTTTTTTTTTTTCCTTAAGTCATTCAAGGCAACTCCCCGTGAGAAAACCAGCAGCAAACCTGCAAATTGTGGCGGCCTGGTGAAATGACTCACCCAGGGTGACACACCCAAACGTGGCACACTTGACCCCGGGTTTTCCTGCCCCCTCTCCCACGCAGAGGGGGGCCTCCCCCCGCCCCCCCGAACCTCAGGCGGGAACCTCCGCGGGCTCCTCTCTGCATGCCCCGCAGCTGAGGCTCAGAGAGAGCACGTGACAGATGCTTGACTGACCACCAGACACCCACGGGCTCACACCTTCCGGCCAAGCCGGGCCAGGGGTTCGGAACCTTTTTTATTTAATCATGACACCCCCTCCCCCACTCTGGCAGCGGGTGAAGCCTGCGGGAACCCCTTTTCAGAAAAATACTTCCAACTTCATAAAATAAAATAGATAGGAATAAAATAAAACACCCCAGGCCCCAAGGACGCTGCAATAGCGATCAGAACTCATTCAAACGAGCTCGCGGACCCGAACTTCGAGAACCCCGGACCGACACGTGATCATTCGCCTTCACGGAGCGCGGAAGAAAGTGTCGCTCCTCGTTCCCCCTCCACTGCCAGACAACGCTCAAACCGAGGCCTTGCTAGGGCTCTCTGGGCCTCAGCTTCCTCATCTGTACAATGGAAGGGGCGCGGCCTGGGTGACCCCCGAGGCCCATTCCGGCTCTAAGGCCAGGAGCCTACAAGTTCCTGCCCCTCGCTGGGCCTCAGTTTCCCCATCTGTCCACAGCGGCCGGGCATGGGGGAGGGTAATATTTACCTCAGTCGCCGGGGGTGGGGGGAGGAGCCTCCTTCAGACCTTCCCTGGACTCTACCCGGCCCCTGGGAGGGCGGCGGCCTCTCACCCAGGACCCAGGACCCCAAGCCGGCCCTCGGACCTCGGACACTACAAGGACCTTGGAGGCGAGGGGCGACGGCGGAGTCCCACGCTGCGGCTACGCGAGGCGCGAGGCGGGAAGGCGAGCATGCGCTCACGAGCTCAGGAGCGCTCCGGCCCTACTGCGCAGGCGTGAAGGGCGGGGGAGGGGGGGCAGCGGGGGAAAATGAACCTTGTGGGGGAGGGACGGAAGAGGTGCGAGGGGGATGGGAAGGAAAGGAGGGAGAGAGGAGAAAGGGAAGGGAGGGGAGAAGAAGGAAAAGGAAAAAGGAAGGGGAGAAAGAGAAAAAAGAGAGAGGGATGAGACAGAAAGAGATGGGAATTGTTCATTCTTAATTTCCTGCTATTAATTTTTATTTATGGACAGCTAGGTGATGTCAGGGAGATTCATCCTCCTGAGTGCAAATTGGCCTCAGGCACCTCCTAGCTGTGCGACCCTGGGCAAGTCACTTCACCCTGTTTGCCTCAGTTTCCTCCTCTGTAAAATGAGCCGGAGAAGGAAATGGCAGTATCATTGCCAAGAAAACCCCAAATGGGGTCACCGAGAGTCAGACAGGACTGAACAACAAAATTTTATTTGTGAGGAAGGGAAGGAAGGGGTCAAGGTGGTTTCTCCTTTGGAAGGTTACTGACCCCTGGGATGTGAAAACCGACATCCCTCAGATAAGAAGCCAAAAAGGGAGTCCAGGCTTCCCAAATAATTTGACTTAAGAGTCATAGACATATAAGTCTCCCCTGTCTCAATCAGCCAGTTGTGAACCCCCTAGATACAGTTTATAATCTGTAACCTGACTCAGTTTACCTTTCACTAGTTTTGTTTTAGATGTCCTGTGATGTTATGATTCTGTTCAATTAAGTTTGTTTAACTTTCATATAACATTAAAGGAGGCCTGGGATTATGAATTTATGTTTTCTAACTTTCATAGCCAAAGGAATGTAGGAGATTGTTACATGTAAAAGATTTATTTCTCTGTCACTCTGATGTAATGTTGTCTTTAGAAAGCTTTTCAGAAACTCAATTAGGGGCTCAAGGGTTATTTTTCTATCCCCCTGAACCTGTGCTTAAGCACAATAAAACCTAGGTTTTTACCTGTATATTTTGCGTTGTGGTACATCTATTTCAGCAGTAGTTACCTACCACACTGACCTCCCTGGCTTCCTTTAAGTCCCAGCCAAAACCCTTCCTCCTACAGGAAGCTTTCTCCAAGCCCTCTTCATTCCAGTGCCTTCCCTCTGTGGGTTATTTCCTATTTACCCTGTATACAGCTTGCCTTGTACATATTTGTTTGCATATTCTCCTCTCCCATTAGATTGAGGGTAGGGACTGCCTGCCTCTTTGTGTATCCCCATCGGATTAGCAGGATACCTGGCACAAAGTAGGGCACTTAATAAATGTTTATTGAATGATGGATTGTTTCCCCCATTAGACTGTGAGCTCCTGGAGGGCAAGGACTGTCTTTTGCCTCTCTTTGTATCCTTAGCACTTAGCACAGTGCCTGGCACAGAGTAGATGCTTAGTAAATATTTACTGAATAAATGAATGACTGAATGAATGAATATTTCTTCCATAAAGGGAGGAAAAAGGGAAGGAGGAAGAGAAAAGAGAAAAGAGAAAAGGATAAGAAAGGGGGGGGGAGAAGGGAAAGAGGAAGAGAAAGGAAAGAGATGAAAAGGAAAGGAGAAAGATGAGAAAGGCAGAGAGGAATAGGAAGAAAGAAAAAAGGGAGAGGAAGAAGAAAAGGAGAAGAGAAAGGGAAGAAAGGAAGAGTGGGAGGGAGAGATAAGAAGCACAGAGAGGGGAAGAAGGAAGGGGAGGAACAGATAGATAAGAAAAGGAGAGAAGAGACAAAGGAAAAGAAAAGGGGATAGAAGAGAAGAAGAGTGAGAAGGGAAGGAGAGAAAGGAGGGGTGGGAGAAACAAGAAAGGGAGGGGAGGAAAAGAAAGGAAAGAGGAGAGGAAGAGAAAAAGATGGAGGGATATGACAGAGGGGAAGAAGAGAGGAAAAAAGGTGGGAGGGATAGGAAGGAAAGGGAAGGAGGGATGAGAATGGGTGGGGTGGGGAGAGGGAAATAAAGTTAAAGTTAGGAAATAATATACTTCTAAATAAGTAAAATTTCCTTTCACATACTCATTAGAATAGATATTTTTAATAACTCAGTTCTTTTTAGAAAATACAAAATAAAACAAAAATGCTACGTAGCCACAACATATGGTTAAAAGCTTAATAAACCATAAAGTGTTCTCTCTTTCCCTCTCTTCCTTTCTTTTTCCCTCTTTCTCCCCTCCCTCTCCTCTCTCCGTCTCCTTCCCTCCCTCTTCCCCTTCCTCCCTTTCTTTCCCTGTCTCTTCTCTTTTCTTCTCTTTTTCTCCCTCCCTCTTCCTTTTCTCTTCCTCCTTTCCTCTCTCCTCCTTCCCTCTTACTCTCGACTTCCTCTTTCCCCCTCTTTTCCTCTCTCTCCCTTCCTCCCTCTTTCTCTCCCCTCTCTCCCATTCTTTCTTACACATATATACAGATACATGACATTAATGTTTCAGAGCAAATATCAATTTAGAAATTAACTATCAATTTAAACTATACATATCTAAATATTCTCAAAAATAATTCCTATCAGCAGGTGTACTACTAACTGGACCTTGCTTCAAGTTGTACTTCTTTACTTCTTGTTTCATTATTGTCTTTATACCCTTAATTAGTGCATTTTATAATTTTTTTTTTTTTTGGTAATTTAAAAAAATGATGGTGGACACCAATCTGTTCATTAGGATGGCTCAATGTCGCCATCTGGTGTTCTGACCCAGCTATGCCTAGGTATTCTTGACCATTTTAAAATAATTTTTTTTTTAATGAAATGAGGCAGCAAAGGATCTAGATTGATATAATTAACTCAGATGAAAAGTAAATTATCTGGATCTGTGATTTTATTAAGTAATAGGCCTTTCCTACTAGAATTTTTGTGAGGATCGAATAAGAATACTGGTAAAATACTTTGAAAACCTTAAGACGCTACATAAATGTGAGCTATTATTACCAGTATGCTTAATAGGAAGTCCTTTTCCAGAACTCAGAAAGTGTACATACAACTAGAAGAATTGACTAGTAAAAGCTACTAAAAATGATAGCTAGTATCTATATATAAGGTTTACAAATTGGTTTATAAATATTATCTCATTGATCTTCACAACAACCTTGGAAGAGAGATACTATCTATATTCTCATTTTCAGATGAAGAAACTGAGGCAGCCAGTCATGAAATGGCTTACCCAAGGTCACCCACCTACTAAGTGTTTGAGGCTGGATTTGAACGCAGGTTTTCCCGACTCTAGCCCCAGCCTTCCATCCACTAAGGCAAGATGCTGTCTTTATGTCTATGAATACGAATAGACAGGGTTGTTTTTGTTTTTGTAACTAAGAAACCCATTTATCCAAATCATAGCAAAACTATGCAGAGTGAAAGAGTTCTCCTATTGGGGGTGACATGACTCAAGTCGACCAGGAGAGTCCTGGATCTCTCACCCAATGAGGAGCTATCCCAGAAGGCTCTAGCCGAGCAAGCTGGGGAGAGAGACACACTGGAGATTGCTCTCCTCTCGGGCTGAGTCCTTTCGGCAGTCTCCAGTGGGGTTGGCACCACCATTCATCTTCTCCATCTTCCCACTCAAAGCTGGAAGCCACAGCTGGTTAACAAACATTTATGGTCTGCTATGTGACTGGCACTGAGAATACAAAAACAATCCTTGCCCTCAAGGAGCTTACTTTATTGTCATGGGGGAGGGGAAGACGAAGGTATCCCTTGTGGGGGGAGGGGAGAGCACGTGGTAAAGTCCAGTTTGCAGGTGGAGGTAGAGAAGAATAAGACATGGAGAATCTGGGAGGAGCCATCTGATCAGAGGGGAGACCAACAGGGGCAGTGTGTGAATTCAAGGGCTGGAGTGAGCATCCAGATGACTTGTTTCTGGGACATACTGGTGAATAATAACCATATTGACATTCTTTATGTAAATGAAGCCAGAAGACAAAAAGTGCAGATAAGTAGAAGGTTTGCCATTTCCTTCTCCAGCTTATTTTTCAGATGAAGAAACTGAGGTAAACAGGGTGACGTGACTTGTATAGAGTCACACATCTAGTAAATGTCTACAAGTCTTCCTGACTCAAGACCCAGTGCTCTGTCCACTGCACAATGTTGCTGCCCAACTGATAACATGCTGACAAAAAAGGAAATCACTCGTTACTAATGTGGAAGTCATGTCCAAATCAGCTACATATAATCAGACCACTAACTTCTTAGAGAGAAGATCAGGACTCACACACAGCCAGAAGGAATTATAACAATGAGAAAAATACATGCAATGGAATTAAAACAACTCTAACCCAACCTGTTTAAACAAGTCATTTACATCAAAAAGAGTCAAGTAGATGGAGGAATGGGCATCATTACAAATTATAACCATTTCCCAAAGAAGTTCAACTCCATGTAACTCAATTGTCATCACAAGGAAAACAAAAGGTCTCCTGTGCCAACCTAGACATTACTACAGAAGTCTAGAAACCACTTCAACCTAGATGCACTGATCTCCTTTGCCAGGGAGGGAGCTACAGCAGTTAATGGGAAACACTGGCATTATATATATATATATGCACGTGTGCATATATACACATTACATATATACACATATGTACATATAAACACATGTGTACACATACATGTGAGTGTTGTATATACATTTTATATGACAGATATAAAGAAATATACATTTGGAAAATTCTACAGAGGATGATGGAAAATCATCAGCAGTGTCATTTCATCAAAGAAGAAGAAGCTATAGAGGGAAAACCATTAAAGTTTGGCAAGAGATCCAAATAAGCACTTTTGGGTCAATTAAGGGTGAGATAAAGTAGGGCAGCAATGACAAAAAAATGGAAGAGATCTACAAAGACCTTTATAATAAATTCTTTTTGCCATCAAGGA